CTATTTTATTGTGTAATTTCGGAGCATTTAACCTATGAAATAATGCAACCAATTCAATAAATTATAGTTGTGAAGGACATTACAATCCAGATATAACCAAGAGAGCTGTGTTAAGCGATGAATATATTAAATATATAGAAGAAACACTTTTATTTCCATGTGTATTATGAACAGGGCATGGGAGAAGGAGCCAAAGTCTCGGCCAAGACAACGGGGCGTATGGGCAATGAAATTCCCGCCATTTGGTAGCCGCCGTTTAGCGCCTGCCTCTGCAACAGATTCCCACAACTGGCGGCACACCCGCTTTGATCTCTTTCCCTTTTTTCGCCTGGTAGCTGTGAAGGAGATTCGTGCCTGCCCCGGGCTAAAAGCGTTGACAAGTCACATGAGCATTGTGATCCGGCGAAGATTTAACATATTGGCCAACACTGCGGTTAAGTTAACCCTGGGGGTGTCCGTCGCGGTTGCACCTGCGGGGGGTGGTGGCCCGCTGTCTGGCGTAAATTAGCTGACAAATGGTGGGGTCTATGCAAAGAAAAAGCGTGATTGCATTTGATACAATTGCCGAGGATTGATTTTAATGGGCATGCATTGAGGGCTAAGCATCATATTAACCTAGTAAATGATAGATTACAATTTTTAATAATAATAATAATAATAATATGGTAGTATCGTTGAAAAGTATGTGACAGGCAGACCCTATAAAGTGAATATATTCTTTATCAGGATCACTAGCCGAGTGGAACTAACCATGATTGTCTGTCTACCTGTCCGTATGAGCGCTATATTTTTTAAAATAGTTATAGCAAACAAATTGTTAAGATTTTGTTTTAGTGTAAATTGAAATTGATTTTACTGACCAATACCTTTTTACTTGAAAAAAATCATATCAATCTCAAAATTATTTTAAGCATGATGTATTAGTAAGTTAATAATGTAAAAAGACCTTCAATCCGCAATGAAAAACAGTGGCAAAACTGATCTTAGTAAAATGTCCTTTTACTAAGAAGTTGAGGTCCCACATAACGGGGGTTGTTTGTTGCTAAAGTTAAATGTTCAAAGTACTATTGCAACTAAACTCTAGTTCTGGACTACAAATGGTTTATGTGGTTTCAAGCCGTAAAAAAAAATTCGTTTTTCTCAAAACTGTAGAAATCTGTAGGTCAAAACCTTTCAACTCAGAATTTTGTTGATCTGTGAAATTAGGCACCTTACTACAAATTTACTCAAATTTGCTACCACTCTAATGTGGTAGTATATTATTACGAAAACAAAGTAATGTGTAACACAACCGTCCGCTTCACTGTCATGTAGGCCTTTCCCAAATATTATAAAAAATAATTATTAAATATTATTACTATACATTTTATAGATTTCAAAACATTGTTTAAAATTTTTCCAATGCAAACTAATGGCCCCTAGTTCGACACTGGGAGATCCCATCAGCAGCCGCTCTCCAGGTCGCATTTCCATGCCGGATTCCTTATGGATTCCTCCCGAATCTAACTCATTCCTCGCCTTATATGTGGGGCCTGGACCGCCCCGATCATCCGAGCCCCCGAAAACCGTCATAACAGTACAGCAGCCGCAACACGACGTAACAATAACAGAGGGACTCCTGTTGACCCGCCAGGTGAACCCACCTGCTCGGGGGCCTTATCAATTGCCGTTAGATGGGACGGGCCAAATGGAGTCGCCTCACTTCTTAAAGCACAGAAATCGCCAGACAAATTCATATTTTATTGCCGCGGACCGAGGCCGGGGCCAAAAGCATTAACAAACAATGCCCCGGCAACAACGGCAAACAAGAAGATCAATGGAAAAGCAAATATTTTCACTCCGCGGTTGCCTAATCCGAGAGCAACAGCTCCTGGTCGTCTTGGCCATTGTTTCTGCCGTTGCCTCCACCGACTCGGCTGCTCTTTGGCCAAACTGCATTTCGAACATAATTTTCATATGTCGCTCTGGCAGTTATAATCACGTTCACAGCTCGTTAGCCGAATGCGAATACAAATAAAATTACCGAAAAACCCGAATTTGAGCCACAACCCACCTGTAGCTCCTCCACACTGCCTGCTTGGCCATAATTGTCGGGAACCAGCATATCGCGTCGTACATGGGATAGCCGGCTGGCCCGCCATCACCATATTGACCATTAGGCGGGCCGAGAGTGCGTTTTGCATTTTGTGCATCTTCATCGATTTCACCATTTGGCGCGCGGTGCATAATTGGCCAGGCCAAGACCAGCGAAGACGGGCCAAAACCCCCAAAGTACACAAAAACAATTGAGATCGTTATCTCATGTTAACTTTGGCTTACAAAATGAAATTTGAAATCCGTATTGGAAATAATTATCCTTTTAATCTACCGAAGAATTAAAACACCACTGAAGTATTTTATATGTATAGTTTTGAAGTATAAATAGATATTATTATAAAGAATTCTTTAAAAATAGTAAACATTTTTAATCCGCCTCAGGACTTGTACTTTATTTAGGAATTAGATTTATTGATCTATGTGTACTGGGATCAAGGCACAGCCAAGGCAGCGGCACGTTTTTCTTCGCTGCTGATGATTACCGATATTGCAGCCAGTGAAAAATGCGTTGGATGCGTGGAAAAGTTTTCTGTTTTCTTCATCCACCCAAAAATCTGGTGGCGGAGAAAATTCCCTCCATTCCTTTTGACTTTGTACCATGCAAGTAGAAATGGGTGGATCTTGATGCAAAAATACTCCTAAGGTATTTTTAAGAGAATTATCGAAATTCATATTTAGGAATTAATAATAATTACATAAACATGATTATAAGGAAGCCTAGAAATTTTAATTAGAATTTATAGACATTGTTATATTAAGCAATTTTATAATACAATTTAAACGCAAGAAAAAATCGGGATAATTTTGGTATATAAAAGATTTTATTTCCAATATATCGGGCATTGATTTAATTTAAATTAATCACATATTATCATTTAATGTTTAAAGCAACTATATTCTCAGTTATACCTTTAGGTTGGGCCTATTGTTGGGAAAAGGGTTAACAATATTGTTCTTTGATCTACATTTTTTTAAGTTAAACAAGTAAACTATTAAAATAAGATTTACGTTTCCAAAAATGTTATCTAATCCGAATGCATACAAAAATGTAAAGTTTTAAAGTTGAATTATTCAAAGTCTTTTTCAGTCAATTATTTTAGGCTATCTTTTACAAATTTAAACAATATAATTAGTATAGGTTATTTTAAGTTTTTTCCTCCATGCTAACTAAGTTTTCAGTTTAATTATTTATTTATTGAGTTCACTTGAAGTCAAACAATTTACTTATTGTAGGCTATTTCGTACAATTATAAACAATTAGTACAGTTTGATTTAAATTCATTAAAATATCGCCTTTTTTAAATCGCCCCAAAAATCGAGCTTAACAAAGGCGACCAGCTTATTCGCCATTTGATTTAAAAAATTCCAAAAAATATGCAGCTTTAAATTTAGGAGAATTTCTCAAGCTGAGTAGTTTTCCTTTAAGGTGGTCTTAAAATTAATGTTTTTTTAAATAAATTCGAATTTTCTTTTTAAAGCGATATTTTATAAATTTTTAAAATTTTATTCTTAAAATTAAGACAACCTTTATAAAAAAAACACGATTGAATTGAGGCAGGGTTTGGTATTGGATTTGATTTGACTGAAATATTTCAAAATATTTATTTAATTTGTTTTGATAAATGCGGGGTAAGTAAGGTGGATAGGTCCGACGACTAGTACAGTACATCCGTTTAACTTAAATTTAAGTTTCCAGATTCTAGAGAATCATCAAAAGTTTAGCCCACTTAAGTCCACAACGCCAAGTTCGTTACACCCACATTTCTAAAGATTTTCTTTCAAAATAGTTTTATTTTATTTCGCTTGTCAATACCTAGCACGATACTAATTGGTTATATCGGACTACTAGTCCCTTATATATCACCAACATGGTCAATAACGACACTGTCAGTAGGTAGAAGCGTAAAAGTAACATTTAGATATGTGAAACAAATATAAATATCGATGTTTCTTTGCCTCTAATCGAAGATACACCTATATAATAGGTTATCCGCTTCCTCTCGATGGTGTATTTATTTTAAGTAACTGGTATCTGAGGCACTTGACTGTATAGTTCTCTCTCTTGTTTTTGTTAGAAAAATGGAATACAAGGTGGAGGGGGTTGAAAACTGTAATTACGTTATATGTGGACAGCCATTTAAGAGGAATTTAAAAAATGGAAAAAATTTATTTATAAGCAAACAATTTTTATTTACATTTTTCGTTATAAAGTTTGCCAAAATACCCTTATATAATTTAAATAAAACGGCAGCTCTAGCTCTTGCATCTTTTCGTTTGATCTGGTAACCCTGTTGCAACATTTTCTTATCAACACGGCAACGTTGTGAGTGATGCCACAGATAACAGTACAGTCACGACTTACATTTATAAACTATTTAACTTGATATCATTTTGTTTCTAACACTAAAAGAGTAGGTATATTTGAAAGACTGAAGCCAATGGTTTCAAAATCTATTAATACTCATAATTACTTTAAATTACAATAACAGTGGCTGCTTAACAGAGAGATTTTCCACCACCTTTTTCCAGAACAGCTGATTGGCTGGCAACATTTTTGGGCTTGGAATCGGTTTCACGCAACACGCTGCTCTCTCGCGAGCTGTTATACTTCTCTTAACCGGTTATTCGAATCCACCCGCCCAAGTGTAAGACCAGTGATCACGGTTTGTGTCCGTGCTGTGATTATAGTAGAACAGTTCATGGAACTGCCTTACTGACTTAGACCCGACTCAAACCGCTCTGGCTACCAATTTAACCCTATTTCGTCTTCTATTTGAACACTCCAATCGGTTAACAGAAATCTAACAGCGGGGAGAGAGCATTCAAGCTGACTTTGGGAGCGAGCTTTTGGAGAGCCGAGTCTATTTAAGCCCCCGCAAGCATTTACTTTTTTGATTCTGAATCTCACCCGCGCTGCTTTCGGTTCCGGTTGCCATAAAAATATTGGGGAAAATACAGCGATATCCGATAAATCGCCGGGATAAAATAACACAGACGATGTGCGCCTTGCAGTGAAAGATAGTGGATATTTTGGCATTTCTGTGGGCCCTCCCCATCGCAACTTTCTAACGCCAACGATTCAGCTGCGCGCTTTTTCGACGGCTTTCCACCGCCGCCGTCGCCGAACAAACAATAATAATGAAAAGCGCCAGACAAAAACCGAAGAGCTAATTGGCCAACCAGTATTATAGCCATTTGTTAATCGCTAATTCCGGCTGACATGTTTGCATATCCACCGACCAAGTTTTCGTGCTGTTAAAGGGAGCTGCCAAGTAGTGCAATAAAATCAAAATAAGTTGAAAGCAAAAAATCCTTAATACACACGCACACACGGAGCAGACGTCTGGGGGAGTGTGTGTGCGAGTGAGTGTAGGTGTAGGTGTGTGCTCGTGCGCAGGCGCCGATTCGAGTTTCTGTGCATTAATTGCTTTTGGCCAAGTAGACTACAATACGATCGAAAGGTGGGTTCTCTTGACTCTTAATTCGTTTATTTTAGGTGTATTTCTATTAATCTTTGCTGATGTGTGTATTTTATTGTTGCGAAAGGTGCCCACCCACGCATGTTTGCCGAAACCAAGACCACCCTCCCCTTATCCCCCCCCTCGCACCACCCGCACATTTACTACGCGCGCTTTGCCGGAAAGCTTCGAGTCTGCGACGGCGTAAGCTTTTTCTTTCATTCAAGTCGTTTGCCGTTATGCTGCGTGAAAGTTAATTCCGTTTACTATCGGCATTCATCATCATCATCATCGCCGCACCGCCCACACATCCCCCACCCCCTTTCAGCAACCCCCCCCCCCACTCCGCACCTTTTGCCGGCTTTTTGTGCTAAGCATTTAAGCGGTAATTGACATGCATTCGCCGATATGTGTTGACAGATAACCTCCACTATCATTTTTTGTTGCCGTTTGCCAGTTGCCCTTTGCCCTTTCCCTTTCGCTTTTTCCTTTGCTTTGGAAGAAGTGGGTGGGCTTCGGGGGATTATTATTACGAGGGGATTAGGGTAGTGCCTGCCACGAAGCCCAATTTTCATCATCTTGAGTGCGGCTTAAAGTGTTACCATTGCAGGCGGGGTCGGAGCTGAAACCAAGGCAATCTCAGTTTTCGAATTTTATTTGCATATCCGAATTCGGTTTCTAAATTGAAATATATTTGGTTTAGTTATACAGCTGAGTTAAGAAATTGTCTTATGCTAATCAAGCTTACTGCATTTATAAGACTCATGATAATAAAACCACTAAGAGAAACCTTAAAAGTCGCATTGCTTCAGAAGGTAGCAAGAGTCTGGTGAGCACGTTTTCGATCAGAACTTAGGCATTCTTAAGCACACTCAGTACATGTCATAAAGGTATTCGCTTTGCCCTTTCTGAACACATTACAATACAGTACAAACCATTTACAAACCGATCTGTAATTATGAAACTCCGATACAATCTGATTTATTTTTAACAGCATTGATAAGTACATGATCACATACCCACATTCGACTCAAGGGAAGTTTTCAACAAGGCGTACAAATTGGATTACAGATATGTTCCCCAAAAGCTCCCAGACATACGTGCATTTATGAGGTTATCCCTGCAAAACACGACCTAATTATGACCGGTGCCGCCTTAAATGTGCGCTCTTCCCCAGATCACTTTCATATTCAGCGAAGAAATGCGTTCCTAGAAAAGTGTAATCCGCTTTCTGGCTTAACATTCTGCTGCCGGCTCTCCCAGAGAAAGAAACCAAATTGCGCTAACTTAATCAGAGCGACGTGCAATTACGTGCATTAGAGCATTTCCACTTGGTCCTCCTGCCTCCAACCTCCAACCTCCAACCTCCAGTCCCCAATCCCCGGATCCCAGCTGCTCAGCTCCTTTCTTGGCCGGCTCTTGTTCCATTTGTTTCCGTTACCTTTTGTCATCCATCGCGCCTTTCAACAGCTCACCGAAGCGACTGAGGCGACGGCGCCGTCGAGAAAATATCGCACTTAAATTGCACTTAATGAAGCTGCATCATCACATTTTGCATTTCATGCAAAGGCACACTGAGCCAAAATACAGAGAAGAACCTGCAAAATTCGGTTAAAAATAAGTATTTGGCTTAGATTAAAATAACTCTGTTTTGGTAATTTAAAACGTTTATAAGGAATAAATAAAATTCCAGGACCTTAAATAATCAATAATTGTGATGTTTATTTTAAATGACCTACTAATATATTTTGGTGTTTATTTTCCAAATTTGACTGATTTTAAGATACATTTCAAGAATAAGTTGAGTAATTTATACAGCCCTCGTGAATAAGAGTAAAAATAGTGGCATTTTTGACATATATAAGTAAGAGTAAGTAAGTCTTTTCAAAATAAAACTCACTTGAGCGCTGTATCGATGCAAAACACAAATTAGTTTAAATTAATTAAATTGTGATTTTACAACAACAAATAAAGTGGCTATCAGTTCATATATTATTTCATTACATGTATCTAAAATGTAAAATAATGCATTAATACAATCACGACCCATGTTAACACTTTTTTATCATGTTAGAAGAAAACCCCATGCTAACTGCGATAGATGTTTCCTCTTTTTTTGTGGAATGAAAATCACAACCTACAATTTTTCATTTGCTTTTATCGTACACTGTTTGGATCGGTTTCATAAAACATACTTTGATTTAGAAATTTTGCACTGTGCTGCCAGAGAAGGCAGTGTCGGAAGGGCTCACTCCGCTGCCATTTCTTTCGTACGTGAGGAGATTCCACACTCGGAGCACAATGCTTCAGCCACTTGCATTCAACAGACAAATGAGTGGAAATTATGCCAAGACACTGGCAATTAATAAGTGGAGAAAAGCAACGTAAGCCCTTCCATCCCTATACCCATTCCCAATCCCCCATTTCCCCAACCCCTTCCGTCTTCCGTTTGACTTTTGTCTCTGGCCACCTGCTGTTAGCCGCCTTCAGTGATTACAGACACTCCGCACACCTTGCGCCCAACCCCACTCACCTGAGATCCCTGCAAGCCGAACGTCTCATTTACATGCTTGCATTGGGGCGGTGAGTGTTTGCCAACGGCAATACATAATAATCCCCGGGTCGGGCTGCACTGCTAGAAATCTTTGGGTTCCATTGCCGACGTGCCCCGGGCTCTGAAAATATAATTGGGCTGTGTGTCATGACTTGAATTTAATGGGGTTTCACAGAGATAGCTGTGATTGACTTGGTAATTGGGTATTGTTATTTACAGAGATATTTGCATACTAATTCCTAATACTTTTCGAACAGGCTTTTTTAAACACACAGAATTATCTTTCATTATTCGAAAGGTAATCATCATACGAAATATTGGGCATTGTTATTTACAGAGAAATTTGCATACTAATGCCTAACACTTTTCAAATAGGCTTTTTAAAACACACAGAATTATTTTATATTAATCGAAATTTAATTATTATGCAAAATATTAGGCATTTTTAATTCCAGAGAAATTTGCATACTAATTTCTTATACTTTTCAAACAGAAGTTTTTAAAACACACTTATACTTATCAAAAGTTAATCATTATGCGAAATGCTAAGCACCCTTTAACAGTCAATCAAAAAAGTAAGATGGAATAAATATAACGTATACGATAAGTGGGACTGGTTTCCCTTAACCAAGAAAGAAACGGTCCTTACATAATATGAGATGAGCTTATATAACAAGGTTTTATATGAGAAAAGCCTGCTTCATGCTAGGATTAAGTGGTGAGAACTCTCTCTACATCCCAAGTAGAGCTAAACTCCGTTTTGATCCAGCTTAATATTCAAAAATACCTTCCCAATCTGGTTCCAAATATCGTTTAGCATTATTTACAAAAAATATTTATCAAGTCTTATAAAAAGGATTATATATATTCCTGTTTTTTCCTAAAAATCTAAACTTAACGACTATTATGATTTGTATTGCCATTAAAAATACTTTATTTATTGTTGGTAAATTAAAAACCAAAAGCAATAAGGTGTCTCACATATGTTTAATATGCATATAAAAGACCTTCTCTTAATCTGCAAATATACTGTACATATTTTGAGCACCACGTCCACAAGAGCAAAGTCATGCCGACCAGTTCTTGGCAATTGTTTTTACCCAGGACGCCGCAGAATGTCAACTAATATACATAAGCATGCAAGTGGTTCTGGGATTGGAATTGGGCAAACACCAGAATTGTGGCCGAAACACCCACACCCCGCCATCCGATACACACGCAACCCCATACACACAGGCCTCCCGAGCCCACACTCGACAATCAATATAAACGCATTTTCATAATTAATCAATGCTGAATAATTTGTCGATGGAGCCAGGTTATGCTGTGTCACTGGGCGAGGTGAGGGGGAGGGCGGGATGAGTGGGCTGGTGTGCTAATAAGCAAATCTCAGAGGTTTGTTTTGGCTTTTATCGGTCGCAGCGGCGGCTTTGCGGTGAACACATGAAAAATCTATCTATCGGAATCCCACACACACGACGGGGCACATGAATGGCATACTGGAATACCGACGGCAGGGCCAAGCCAACTGTGAAAGCCGCGTTTACACTAGGACCCAAATAGGCGATAGTAAAATGCTAAAAATAGGCGTGGATTTGGGGCTTAAAAGCAAACACCACGTACGAACTTTTAAATATTGTAGAATAATACAGTTTTACTTTAAAGGTTATGGGCGATAATGTAAATTTAATAGCTGGTTTCTTGATATAACATACAAACCAATCTTTAATCCTCCATTTATTTCAATATTTGTGGTTGAAACTTGATAAAAGCAGGACATCCCTTGTGAAACTTTAACCTATAATAACGCCCTTCATCAAGTGGCAAAGTGTAAATGCCGCTCTAATAACCTCATAAGGTTATTTTACTTTCGGTTGAGTTCTCGCATTACAAAAATAACTAACAACTGAAAAGAGTCGGGCAACTAAATGACTAAACCGACTGGGCTTCGAACAGCATCCCCGGAGTCCCCTCCCTTTTCCGCCCTTTGTGTGTGTGGCATGTTCTGGGTATTATGTGTATTTAAAGATCATTAGTGCGCAATTTATATGTAGATATTCCGGAATATATGTACGTAAGTGCGTATCGATTTCCACCAGTTGAGCGGGCCGAGAGCTTAATGCCAGCCCCAACGTGTGGCGGCTTTGTTAAGAATGATTAAGAGTTGAAGGGGTCGAGGGGTTGGAGGTCGGGAGGTCGATGAGTCGGGGGTGGGCGCAATGTGGGCCGAGGGCTCAGGGCGGTGTCAAGGCCAAGCGTCAAGACATGTGCTCCCGGTGGGGTTCTACCTTAATCGAAGCTAAGCCGGATGTGGGGCCAAATGAGAATAAAACGAGAGTGGCGGAAAAGGGACTTGGCTTACGACGATGAATTGGCTTAAAGTTAAATACCCATTAAAGGACCTTTCTTTTTTCCATTGTTACTACCATATTTCCTGAAGGTGAACTTGTATTTTCTGCAAATATATAGCTAGAAAGAAAAAGTATTCTTAAAATAAGTAAAATACCTTCTCAAAACATTCTTCACTCCTTCAAACACAATGCCTCGAAATTGATTTTCCCATTAACATTAAACGATTTTCACCTGGGCTTTTTATGCGTCTACCTCTATTCCCCAGCAGCCCCGAAGTATGCAATAAAAAATCGTTCCGCATTTTAAACGAGAATTCGGCGTGGCCTTCCTTCACCGCCATCCATCCGCAATATATCGTTGTCAATTTCCCCGATAACGATCAAGATTCCATTAAACCCATAAGAGACTTTTCCGCCATCAACTGGCGCAGCATTTGTGCATACATTTCCATTAAAATGCAGGATCCTGGGCGGTTCAGGTTCAGATAAAGGGAATTAAATGCAGGGCGGCGGGAAAAGGTTGCGGATTAAATTAATGTGGGGAAACAATGCGAGGGCGAGGGTAAAGGCGAGGGCGCCAGTTGTTGCCACTCGCTCTAATGAAGCAACATTTGCACACACAGATACGCACCCACACAGACGCAGGGCGGAGCAAATAGCGCAAATTCCGTGGAGCTTCTGCGGCAGCAAAAAGAAGCGGAGCCAGCCATAAATATTTTTCGAAATAAATTCTCGTTTACAAATTATGATTTTATGACTTTTTGATGGCGCCGCCACAAGACCCACACTTACGCAATTCGCACACACACACGCAGGGTAATATATTTCCGACCGGCGAGGGGAGGGAAGGGGGGCGACTCGAAGGAAAAACGCTTTACGTATTTATGGCAATTTCGCATTGGGCGGCTACTGCTGCCACCGCTTTATATATCGATACAAAGGACCTCCTTTTCGCCCATCACCAAGTTTGCATTAAAAAAATTGGCACAAAAAACAAAGCGGAAAAATCGGACAAAAAGGGCGAGCCTTAAAGCGACGCCAAAAAAAGTTATTACACGAAAGCGCGAAAAAATTCTGTTCGAGTTGAATGCAACTTCCATGTGAATGTGTGTGTGAGTGGGCATATGTATGGGTGCAGCAGCTGCTGCCACTTCCCAGCATTTGTGTGCCATTTTTTGCCCGATTTTCGCGCTGCCTACTTTTGGGCGCATAATTTATGACCGCCCGGCATTAAATTAGCCAAAGCGCCGCATGAAAAACGGCAGAAACGCTGGCGACAACCGACGTCCGGCGCTTATTAGGCGATGACGTAGCAGGGGGAGGGGGGTCAAGGGGCGGGGCTCCAATTGGCGGGGTGTTCCGGAGGGGGCGTGACACACATCCCCACAAACAGGCCAAATCTCCTTGGGCCAAGTCAGCGGGCGCTACCAACATTTCCCATTTATTCTAGCCGAGCTTTCTGCGATTGTGCGTTTTTTACCAAGCCTTCACTGCTAAGTTACTAGCAATATATCAAATATTTATTCTCATTTATATATCTTTTTGGGGGCCTGGAAACAAGTTGAGCACAATGAAACACAATTGGCCACAGTTTTTGTTCAATTTATTTCGGATCAGTAAACAATGAGAATTTTTGGAATAATTTATTTAATGAAAATAAAAGCAGTAGAACCGTGGGAATAATTTGGGGAATTTTTCGAATATTATTAAGATTCTATTTGGCTATCACATTTTTAATAGCTTGTTTTCATTTCATTTGAATACAATGAACACCGTATTAAATATCTCGTAAAGTTTTATTATGACAGAATAATATTAAGGAATGCATTTTAAAGTATATAAAAGCACTGATTTTCTCCTGATATTTAATAAGTGAGATGATATTGATGGTATCGTGCTTTTTTATGTACGCGTAACCTATACATATTATATAATACAATATACACACAAATATATTTAATACCAGCGGTAAATTCATGTTTTATGGTCCAAGGCCTTAGCAAATATGAGCGCACAATTAGCGAGGAAAATGATTATTGCAAACAGTAGGCCAGTTACATGTTTTATGTAATACGATTTAATGATTTTTCTCAATTTAATTTTTGCAATACAACTTTTTAATAATTTAACTGTAACATACACCGATTTACAAACATTCTACAAAGTAAAGTTGCAAGTATCACCGGAATAAATCAAGGAAACGTCTCAGACATTCAATAGGTTATCCTATTGATTAAGCAGAAGTTCCATGTTTACCCTAGCTCGTTTGACAAACTTTTCCAGACTCACAAGGCGGCCCTCGTTCCTTGCCCTTAAATGAGAATATATACTCACATCTGTGCGCCTTGAGTGTGTTTGGGTGTGTTTACTTACAATTATGAGCGTGTTGATGACAACGTTGCAGAGCCTTCGTCCTTCGTCTCAAGCAGTCACACACTTGGAAAAGTTTTTTATACATTTTCGCCAAGTCTTCGGGGGGCCTTGAGCTGCGGCATTGCAATAATAATTACAAATGTTGCACAATAAATTGCAAAGTAAACAGACTTGGTGACGGCAGTGGCATAGGAAGAAGCGGCAGCAGCAGCAGCCAAAGCCGAGGCAGCGGCAAAATTACTTCCTGCTGAATCGTAGCGGAAATGTACATACAAACGCACTCACACAGACCAATCACAGTCACAGAAGCAGGATGTGTCTGACTGGAGCAGTCCTTTTCCGGTTGAGAGCGTGAGCACGAAATCGAATTGGAGCGGAGGGATTCGCATGCCCGTTCACGATGGCATCTCTGGCTGGAGTCCTGCTCCTCGGAGAGTGGCAACTTGTCAGATAGAAAATCATAGGAAAAAGTCCCGCGGCGGCGACAAGATGCGTAATTGCGGAGCTCCGAGCGGAGAACTGTTGCACTGCGGCCGCCGAGGATGTGGAAGGATGTGTAAGGATGTGTGTGTGGAAGGATGTGGCCGGAAATGGAAGGATGTGCGCCCCAAATGCCTCGGCTTTTTGCATTCCCGCCCGGGTGTCGCCACCTCCGCCCCTCCGACCCTCCGCCAGTCAGCACTGCTTCTTGACTTGTCGGGAATGCAATAAATCCTGGACTGGCAAAACAATGACAAATGCCCTCTCTTCCGCTACGCATTTCTGCCTCCGTGTGTCATCCGCATGCCGGACATTTAATTTGATATCCGCTTATTGCCAGTGCTTTCCGCCCCGCTCCTGTCATCTGCATGTCTAGCTGCATTTTCCATTGAGACTCAATTGCAAATCGTTGGCAGCCAAATTGTGATGTTATCTTAATGGCTAACTGGCCAAAAGTATTTCTCTCCTGCAACAGGCTCATTTCTACTGCATTCACTGCAAATGACCACTCTAAAAATGAATCGCTTATCTCCACAATTAGTGTTATATGACTTAGCATCCGTTCAGCTGTCACATTGTTAATTATGGCTCAAATAACAATAAATTAGGCTAAGCCTCTGTTTTATCAGGCGCTGTGAATTAATAAATTTTAAAGTAAGCAAGGAGTGATTTTATTGCTGCGTAATTTTAAACGGATGCAAACACCATTAATCTTTTATTACAATCTCTTATTATTCAAAACAAAGTGAATGCCAAAAATAAAATGTCGTACTTTCCGTCCTTTCAGCCCTTGCTGGCGACTATCATGTAGAGTACCATATCAGCACCGCGAAATCGAAGTCAGAGGGAATCATGGTGGAATCCTCCAGTCTGGGGAGGACCCCGCCGGCGGCCCAGCAGCCCATTCCGCAGCAGCACTCCCCCTCCCCCTCGGGGCTGCGGTGCGGCAACATGGAGACGAGGGTGCGAGGCGCCTGGTACCGCGTCCTCGTCACACTGGAAACAGACTTCCTGGCCGTCAGCCTGGACGAATCCTGTGAGGCGGCGCAGCCATCCAACGATGGACAATCTACCACCCTGAACGGAACCTTGGGGTGAGTTGATTTAAATTTAAGGTCATTAGACCTGAGATAAAACGGAAAGTTTTTGTCAGTCTACAACTGTATTTTATTAAAGCCTGTTCTTATGGTTACTAGATTTTAAAATTGTTAAAAATACATTTTTTTGAATGGCTTCAGAATTTGTCGCTCACTTGTACGGTTGTCTTTAATGAAAATTAATTCAAATCTATGTGGCATAGTCCTCAACCCATTTTCTTGTATCTCTGGCCTATTTCTACAATTATTCCAACAAAACTAATAAGTTGACAAGGCTAGAAATAGAAGAAACGATTATTTTGGACTAAATTCTTGCAGGCATACGGGTCGTATGAATAATTTGTAAGGAAACTATAAGCATTGTGCAACGCTTTAATCCTAAAATAAAGTTTTCTAGTTTTTCGGATACATATGTATTATACTTTTGGACAGCCCAATACGGAATTTTACAATTTGTTTGCATTTTTGGACCTTAAGTACTTAAAATATACTGGCGTATATGTAGTTTACATAGTGTGTTTTACAAAGTGGATAAATCTAATTAGGTCTAGTCTTACGAGTCTTAATTTTTTACAAACTTTCAAGTACCATTCATAGCAGTCTTAAGTATGAAATTACTATACCCTAAAAATCTCATAAATGTCGGCATGTAACCCTCTATCTTTCCCCCAGGAGCAATCACAGTGGCGGAGGAGGCGGTGGCGCCGGAGGAGGTGGGTCTGGCGGAGCTGGCCAGAACGGCAGCCTGCCCAGTTCCGCCTCGCTCCAGGGGATGAATATCCAGGACACGGAGCTAGATGGCTCCGGGGGCAACGACAACGGCGACCTCTGCCTGAACAACAACAACAATGCCGGCGACGGAGGCGGCATGGATATGTGCGACGTACCTGACCATGTGGCCAACCAGAAGCGGCATGTGCGGATCATCAAGTCGGACAACAACGGCCTGGGCATCTCCATCAAGGGCGGGCGCGAGAACCGGATGCCCATCCTCATCTCGAAGATCTTCCGAGGCATGGCCGCCGACCAGGCCAAAGGACTCTACGTGGGCGACGCCATCCTGACGGTGAACGGGGAGGAGCTGCGGGACGCCACCCACGACGAGGCGGTGAGGGCCCTCAAGCGGTCCGGTCGAGTGGTGGATCTGGAGGGTGAGTACACACCGATGATACATTTGTTGCCCTCTTGGCCAGAATGTCAAATTGTTATTTGCGTAAAACATTTCGCACACACGGAATGGGAAAGGTGGAGTGCCGAAAAAGAGGAGAGCTTAAAAAACGCGAGTCAAACTAACAAGTAAACTATGAGTACCGTCGCGAACAGTTGGGTACAGTGGGTGGGATAAGCGTTGGATTATCCAAAAATACAGAACCAGCAGCTCTATAATGACATATTAGCTTGTACCTTTAATATTCGATGCTTAAACGTTGTCTATGTATACTATTCGACAGTATTGTATATCTGTTCTGACTCCTCATCTCCTTTCCAACACTTCCCTCACAACATGAACATCTAAATTCGATGTACAACCAAAGCTTTAATCGCACTCCCCACTATGAACTAAATTCCATCTCAAAATTCAGATCCCTCTTAGCAACAATAAATTTGAAACATTTTTTATCTGCTGCTTGTTTTTGTGATAAATTGTGTCTTTGATTCCCTCCTCCCCGCCCCCAAAGCTGCACAGATAATCTTTTACAAACTTGTTCAACCGTGATTAATTGACCGACAGTGGGGATTCTTTTTGTCCCGTTGTTGTGGCATCCGTCCCATGGTGGCGTGCTGGAGTAGCGAGTGGGAAGGGCGGAACAGAGGGTTTTAGTGCAAATACATACGTGGGATTACTCAGCAAAACATGCGAGTTACTGCCGCAGCCACTGCGACTGCTATTGCCACTGTTGCAGCTGGGTCCTGTTATAAATCCCCAGCATCCAGCATCCAGATCCAGATCCAGCCCTCCCTGGCAGGAGTCCCCTTTGGGCCACCGCTTCATGTTGACTGTTAGCTGTTGACTGCCGTTAGTTGGTTGGTCGGATGGTTGGTTGGCTGGTTGGTTGGCTGGTTCGTTGCCTGGTTTGTTTGCCCCGGCTTGGCAATGAGTAATGAGAAAAGTTTTCTTTCCATTTGATCAAATGGCCCAAAAATACATAGTCGCTTCTTGTGGGTGGTGCACCCGCCCAGTGTTGTCGAGTGGCAAAAAGCGAAAATGGTTCAGGTTGCGGAAGGTTGGGTTGTTGGGATGCTGGGATGCTGGGAAGATGGGGTGTTGGGATGCCCTGCTACGCACTGCATTCTCAACTGTCTGAGTAGCTGGCAGACGTAAATAAAGCAAGGGTTATAGGTGATGAGAGCGGTGTTCTATAGATAGAGGACGAAAATAATTATCAAGGTTTGCTAAGCTGTCTGCAGGGTCGTTCGGTAAGCCAAGCTGAACGGCAGCACTTCGACCGTCTTGGAATTACATATATTTTAATCTGAGTCCTGTTAAGATGTATTTGTTTTTATTATACAAGAGCTTGAAATGGATTTTTATTTAACTAAAGAAAGCTCTTACACCTGAATAAACAACTGATAAAGGGCGTCTTTCTCCACCAACTATTAAATCCATTCGACCCTCCATAGGCTCTACAAACTCCCCAATAGTATTCATTGCCTTAAATCGTATCTCTTCAACGGTTCAGTGAATACAAGTTATCTGCAAGAACACACTGCATAGGCAAATATCCTGGCCCGAAACCATCGACCCGGCACTTTAAAAATGGATGTACCATTGCCAGGCCTGATCTAATAACAACCCAAGTGCATAATCACACCAGCACATCATCATCGTAATCATAATCACAGACACACAGAGAGGACAATGCCTAATCAAAATGGCCGGGCAAGTTGGAGCGTCGTTTCCTGTTCATCTCCATTCAGTTGAGTTTTGCTTCGTTTTGCTCGGCTCCTCGTTCAAAACACAATAAACAATAGTAAGCATCAATTAGGCGATGTATGGGTGGGATGTCCTTGCGCACACACATCGCCCACAAAGCGGGGCAATCCCAGTCCCCGGCACGCCCACTTGTGCATCCTGTGGGCGTGACCCAATCACAAGCCAAACCATTTGGCATAAACAATGCAATGAACCGTGCTCGACAATTTTGCTGAAACAACTTCCTCTGCGAAATGATGGGAAAAGGCTTCAGTCGGATCGGGGAATCCACTCCGACACAGCCAATTCCATTTCCTTGACACACACATTTCATGGACACCAGCTGCTTCGACTGAACAATCGCTTAATTGTATTGCGTTTAGCACAGGTAGTATTTGGCTAGTGTATAGAAGATCAAGGACCAATTATTGATTAGAAGTTACATTTTAAGCTAAAGTATGTAAGAGTTTGAAAACACTTACATACAATTTAAAAATCCAGAAAGCATCTTTGTGTTTGAAAATTTATCTGCTATTTTTATAATAACCTTACATTCATGTTAGGTGTCTAAAATCAAGCAGTCAATAAAGGAGAATTTTTTTTATAATTAACTCATTTAATTTCTGAGTTTAAAATATTTTGTTGTGTCACTTAAGACACATAAATACATATATCGCAAAACCTGAGCCAATGGAAGAATAGGCACCTTTACCAATCAAATAAGAATAAGTAATAAATCCAGAAAGGCTTATGTTGAATTAAGTACGTATATTTTCGTGGAATAATCCCCATTTTCAGATAGACATGTGAGTCCTTAGATCCTCCTCAGGCGCTCGCTTCTCAAGCGCTGACGTGGCTGCTCTACGGCCAGGATGAGGCGGCCGAACTGCGTTCCCCTGGCGCCCAGGGGCAGCAGGATGAGGCGTCCGCTGGCCAGCTCGTTGGTCAGCGCCTCCTCTGCCGCCGCCTCCTCGACCAGCTCCACCTGCGACTCCTCCAGGTCCAACTCGTTCTCGGGCTCGCTCAGCTCGGGCACTCCGTAGGTGGTGGCGGGTGGTCCGTAGGTTCCTGCTGGGGCGGCGGCCTTGACCTCAACCTCCGGCTCATTGTCCTCGGCTTCCGCTTCGCCCAGGGCAGGGACATCAGCAACAGGCTGCTCGCTGCCAGCAGCATCAGCGCCATCGGCGGCAAAGTCCTCACAGCCTCCAGCGAGGGTGGCTGAAAGTCACGGGATGGCTCCTGGGCCACCACCTCCACGGTGTCGGCCTCCAGGGGATCCTGCTCTCCGGGGGCTCCGTAGGTGTTGGCGGGCGTGCGGACGGACACCTCCAAGTCCGCTTCCGTCTCGGTCTGCGTTTCCGTTTCCGGTTGCTGCTGCTCGGTGGTGCTCAATGGCTCAGTGTTCTCCAGAGTCTGCACTTCGCTGGGAATTGTGGTGCTGCTGGTGGTGGTGGTCAGTGGTTCCGTCTCGAGCTTGGGCTGCACCTCGCCGGGCAGATTGAAGGCGATCCTGGGCCGGAATCCAGCTGCCGGATACGGGGTGGAGGAGTACTCCACCTGGCGTTGACTCTTCGCCCGACGCTGCGGCATGCCGGAAACGGAGGAGAGGGCCAGGAGGCACATGGCCAGGATCAGGATGGGTTGGCTCTTCATGTTGATGGTGGACGAGTGCTAACGGTTTGTGCCGGCTGCTGTGGGTGCCCCGCTATTTATGCGCACTATGCCACCGATTCTCCCATCAGAATTCAGTAACGGTCGCAAGGTCGCCGTTGCCGCTGCCGTTGCCTGGGGTTATGATAACTCACTCGATCCCAGATGCACAGTGCGAATCCGAATCCGAACCTGAATGTATGGGACAACTGACAATATTCGCGCATTTAAAAACGTATCGTGGCCCATCAAAGCAGCCATCAAGCTCAATGTTAATGTCGCTTTAATATCAACAGCCTGGCAGCCCCTCCCGCAAACTTCAGTTCCATCTCGGGCTTAGCCCTCCAAGACTCACGTCATCGTCGTCAACGTGCCTCGCATGCCACGCAGCCCAGGGCCCCACGATATCTTTTGACTCCGAGAGTCTGACTCGCATTTAATTTTGGGCCAGCACATGTCCATGTTGAGCTGCTGGTGATCCATTTCGCCGCCTTTCTGGGCCAAAATATATTACTGCGAGCCAATTACAGTGGCAAAACTATTTTCGGAGAATTTCCCATGCACTGCTAAGGAGCTTTGTACTCTGCTAGCAATTCATAGAAAATTAAATTTTTTAACTTAAGGTGTCTTTAACAATGCAAATACAATTTACAACTATTACATTTTATCTAACGGGGAATTTATGCTCCTACTTTCTTTACTTCCATCAAAGAAGCTTTAAAACTACCTTAAGATAGACCTAGTCATGAGATGTATTAAATAATCATATCACAAGGGTCTTCAACTCACTTTGAAATGTCATTATAGGCGTCTAAATCCAAAACATAATTTAAACTCCTTAATTCACTGCATACTTTTAGACACCTTAAATAACATTCTAACATGATTTTAATACACAAGTTATTTATGCAGCAGACCTATAGGTTGCATTTTTTATTACTTCTCTAATTTTTTACGATTTGTAAAAATGCAAGGTTATGTGGTAGCTCCAAGTTCAGACCATTTTCGACACTGAAATAACCAATTACTAACTCGTTGTTCGAATTTATTTAACCACATATGGCTTCTTGAGTTTGTTAGATATCAAAGCTCATAGCCCCCATACCATTTGTTTTATCTAAGCCCCTTCACATTTACATATTTACTTGTTTGTAAAACCCACAATCCTCTCAATAAGCCAATCCAATCAATTAGCCAATTTACCCCGCACCAAAGCCCCAGAAACTTGCCTCCCTGCCTGTTTTGTTATTGAGTGAGCATTTTGATTTTCGGCTTTTGGTTTGCGGTCGTTTTCATAATTTCAACGGTGTGTTCATTAAATTAAAGTGGCCCAGATCTATAGGCACGCAAAGTGGCGCAAATGTAATCACAATTTCAAAAGCCTTTAGCCATGAATGGGCGGCGACATGCTTAACGGCTCAGCACCATCCTGCCCCAATTCCGCCCACTGACTTCGGGCCGAGCTCTTGATTCGAACTTCAATTTACAAGTTGGCCAAGTTGTTTGCCAAGCTCCGCTGGCCGCTGTGCGCCCAACTTTGGCCCAAAGTATTTGCGCGCAGGCAGCCGTCTCATTGTAATTTAAATAAGCCGGAGGAGCGGGCTTCGAGCGGGGCTCTGCAACTGGATTCCAGCTCCGACTGCCAAATGTCAGCGACAGATTCCCGAGATGGCGACGGAGGCGACGACAGTTGGCTTTGCTCGCCTCCCAGAAGTCCATTAGCAATGGTTTTTACAGCTTGGCACACATTTGCGGACCCGCCGGATCCACCATCAGCCCACTGTCCGCCCATCCACCCATCCACCCATCCACCCATCCACCCAAGTGGCCCCTACTTACCCAACCTGCCCACTTCCTCCCCAGGACGCGTGAGATTTTACTCGCAAAAGTTTTGCGCAAAGTTTGTTTTAACGCACGATTTGCCGAATTCCGAATGCCGCCTGCTGTTGATATCATATTCCGACCGGCCACGCCCACTATACGGCTTGCCCCTTTGATTTATGCTCTGGGGTGGCAGCACTGCCGGATTTTCAGGATTTCCTTTTGTCGGCAAAGGTGTAAAAAGTTTTTGGCCGCCTGTGAATTAAGTGGGGTAATGTGGGGACCTGAAAGCCACGAGAGAGCCGAGTCAAATGAATGCGTTTTGAGCAATATTATTATCGTGAAGATGATCTCAGAAAGCCAGGTAGAGCAAGTGCAAGGGGCTTAAATAAAATGAATACTTTAACTTTAGCATTACTCAAGCTTAAGAGGATTACCAGCGTCATTGGGGAACCAAGACTGGTTTAATATTAAATTAAAATTTGTAAATGATTATGGTTTCTGGGAAGCTTAATTTTTTGCAATAAGATAAGAGGTTAGAGTCTGCAGCTGCATACAACAGGATGCATAAAACGGGTTCCAGGATATTAAGTGAAATGGTAAACTTTGCCTAAAAGCTTACAATGATTGAACGAGCACGTCCAACAAATAAATTAATTTTCAAGAGAATTTTGCGCAAATAGTAGAGGCTTATATTAAATTGCCTTGCTCGCCGTTTCTGGCTCTATTGATTTAACCCACATGCCAGGAGCACTAAGCAAATCCTTGACTTTAATCCTTAGTGGATTGTTTGTAATACCATATTTATTTGAAAAATGTAAGCGCAAAATATTCATACTTAAGCAGCTAACAATTGTGGCCTGCGGTGGTTTTAGCCAACTTTTCCATAACTTGTTTGTTTTTCTCGAATGGTTTTTTAGCACAAACACACACTCTCATGGAGCGGCAACTTTATTTACACTTAAATGCAAAAATTTGCACAACTTATTACCGTTGTTATTGTTGTTTCTGCTGTTGCATCTAAACTTTTGCCGCCGCCAGTTGCGTTCCTCGTTTGTCGTTTTTGGCTTAGTTCAGTTTGCTCTGCAGGCCACTCCGAAAATCCAGGACCGCCCGAAAACCCCTTTTATCCCCCGAAAGTCTCATCACACTTTGCGCCTGCCGCTATGCAACATTTTTATTTTTAGTTTCTCCGCTTGTTTGGCCGTTTGTTTGTCGTCGGTTGCATATTTGTGAATGCAAATGTTTGCGAACTCCAGTGGGGAGTGGGTGGCATTTGGCCAGCTGGAGTCCCTGGCGGCTTCCACCATCCAGAGCACGGTAAATGCCAAGCAATTAGCAAGTGGGTGGCACCCACCGTCGCATCACCCCTCCGCCGCGTGGCCGTCTGCTCTAATTAGTTGGGCTAAACACACGAATTGAGTCGGACAAACCGCCGCCAACCGTCGGCCGATGGCATTAAGTGTGAAAATTGAATTTCCAAATCACTCGAACGGCAAACGACAACATCAACAGCAGCAACAACAGAAACGAGGCAGAAGCAGCCAGAGCAAAGGCAAAAGCTACGACAGCGGCAACAGCAAACGGAAATTGTGCAAATGTTGTGGGCGGAATTCTGAGCATATCAAGTGGGCTGGGCCCCGGCCGGGAATGGTATGGGACTTACCAGTTAGATATACGAGACTTGCAGAATGCCCCTTTCCCTCAGAGCAGAGCACCTGGCATCGTCGGCTCAATTTGCATAGTAGTTGCACAGTGGTTTACCTAAAATCAATAAAGAAATAAAACAATATTAATTCAAAATTAACAAAATTTTTTCAAAATATGAAGTATTTACTGCCCAGAGAAATGATTTGATGATCGATAGATGATTTTGATGAAATTCAGTATTAATTCTATCTATTTCTAATCAATCTGTTTGCCATATTGCTTTTTGCTATCTTATTCTATTTCGGGTGGGATACTGCTCACTCGCTCTAACCCAGAGTAATTTAAAGCACTATATCGCTCTTTTTTCTCTATTTCGAATTAACTCAATTTTTAAAGAGAGATCCAGAATGTAGTAAATACCATGCTAATATAAAATGTATCCTTACGTAATATTACTAGTAGTTGGAAAAGACACATCAATAAAAGTTTGGCTACCTGTGGGTAAGAAAAAATATCTTATTCCTTTTCACTACTCCGGGCCCACTGTGCTCAGGAGTTCGACGCCAGTCGAGGGACTTTGGGTGTGCAAATCGAATAAAAATGGAGCGGAAACTCTAATGAATTTATGCCGCAGCGTTTGCCAAGACTGCCGCAGCAACAGCCACGTCGGCTTTAACGAAGAAGGCTCTAACTCCGGCTGATTGAATGCTGTGAGTGCTGCATTTGCGAGTGCTTTGCTGATGACACTGTGCCCCACATCCCTCCGCATCCATATTCATGCGCCGTCGTTTGATTTGCTCTGATGTTTATATCCCCGGTTGGTTTCCTCCTGTGTGTTTGCAGTTAAATTCCTACGCGAAGTGACGCCCTACTTTCGGAAGGCCAGCATCATCTCGGAAGTGGGCTGGGAACTCCAGCGGGCCTTCCTCTGTCCGCTGGGACCGGGCGTCCCCACCTCGCCGCCCGCCCCGAAGACGACACCCCGGGCGGATACGCGATATATCCCGCTGCAGCTGACGCATCTGGCCAGGAATCTCAAGTATATCGACCCGGGTATGTTATTCGATTCTGAAAAATGTCAATGCGTATAATTTTATCTTTGCATTTTATTTAATAAAATGTTCCTTTGTTAACAGAATCCAGTTTTATTTTAAATTCTTAGTATCATCATGACTGTTTTGAACTTTACCCCTTGATAAGTGATATGTTACAGTTAAAGTTGATCTATATCCTATTCCCCTAGAGAACCGGTGCTTCGAGCTGCACTCGCCGGACGGAGTGCACTCCTGCATCTTGCGAGCGGCGGACTCGGCGGAGGCCTTGGTCTGGTTCAATGCCCTCCACTCGGCGATGGGCAGCAGCACGCAGCGGGCTCTGGCCGAGGCCAATCGGGCGCTGACCAACCTCATCGGCGAGCTGAAGCACATTGGCTGGCTGAGCAAGCGGATGAGCGGCGGTGGCGGCGGGAGTTCTGGGAGCGCCGGGGGCGGAGCGGCCAGCGGGGGCAGCGGCACCTCGAACAGCGGCGTGGCCGGCGAGCTGGTAAGTGTAAGTTGACCCAAATCCCCAACTATTATTGTCACTATATTTTTTTAAACAAAGTATTTTTCATCAACACACAATCTGAAATTTTCAAGTATCTTTAAATATAGTAACCCTTAATTCAATGCAAACCATCAAAGCAGATATAAAAAAAACAGCATGATATCTGCCGTTGTTTAATTTTAACAGTATAAAGAACTTAATCAGGAATGCGTTAGTCGTCCACATGAGCCAATATTCTAAAACTTTGATACTTTTGCTAAGTATATGGTTTGTTAAATATTGTAATGCGCACCCGGCTATCGAAGTTCTACAACATAAGATCATAAAAAGCAGATATTTAGGTGTCCTTAAATATAATCAGATGATAATACATCTACCTCTTAAAACGATTATAAAAAGTTTAAATCATCTTCTATTTAACGGTCCAAAACATCGATGTACATATAATAATAGTGGTTCATTAATTAAAAGGTATCATGCTCTTAACAAGAAATGCACTCTGATCCACAGCCCAGCGGTCGTTCCAGTTCGGAGAGCTCGGACGAGAGCGACAAGTGGCTGCCCATATTCGTGGCGGTTACGGAGCGTGAGTTCCGGATCTACGAGAGTGCTCCGTGGTCGGTGGAGGCTTGGAGCCGTCCTCTGGAGATCTACGCCCTGTCCACGACGCGTCTGGCGGGAGCCGGCAACAACTCCTCCCTGAATGTAAGCAAGAACCGGCCCCGATGCAAGGCAAATATTTTAAGAATTGTATCCTTTGGCAGGGCCAGCAGACCACGGTGTTCTGCGTCCGTTGCGGCACCGCCCGCGGGGTGCTCGTCTACTGGCTGCGCTCGGAGACGCATCGGGACATGGCCGCCTGGGCCAGATCCCTCGTTCAGGGCTCCCACCAGGCGGTCAACTACCAGAGGGAGTTCTCATTCCGCTGCCTCTTCCAGGGCCGGCAGTGTCAATTGGTTGTGCACATAAATCGTGGCTTCTTTCTGTACGATTGCGGCGGATTCGCTCCAACCACTCCGACGGTGGCCACGTCCAAGACGCAGCTGTGGCAGTTCGCCTTCGACAAGCTAAAGGGCTCCGCGGATGATGGAACCAGGATGTTGTACCTGGACTTTGGCGATGACGGAGAGATTGTGAGACCCTGAGAAATACTCCCCAAAATACATAAATCTAATTTACCTTTCCAGGAACTGGACATGGAGTGCTGTCCCAAGCCGGTTGTTTTTGTGGTGCACAACTGCCTGTCGGCCAAAGTTCATAATATTGCCTAGGACGAGGTTGACCCGGAGGGAAAAGCTGATAATTGTTGATGTTTTGGGTACAACGGATGTGGATTTCCGTACCACGCAAAAAAATTTATTTATTAGGCTGTCCAAAGCTGTATTGTTTTTCGAAAGAGTATTAATACTATTATTTCTTAGACCCTTAGTCTTATCTTTCTTCTTCCTAGCTACTTAACACCTTTGGACGATTTAAAGACATTTATCTAAGTGCAATGTTTTGTTAACTCAGTCAATTAACCAGGATTTAATCAAGACTTCACCAATTTGTGGATCAGCCTAAAAGCTGACCACGAAAAGTTATGATTCAAAATGAAATTCGTTCTGTTTTGCCTAAAATATTAACATTTATTAATGTAAGTCCTACCAAAATTACGACCTAGTTAATGTAGCAAAGAATGGATTAGATAGTGGTAGACGAGTGAGCATTTCGCGCTTCCTGATGGCTATGGAAATGGATTAGTTGGATAGGGTTAGCTGGAAGATAAAAGCAGAAAAACAAGAGTAGATTTTTGAAAAAATACGAAGCACAAACCAAAAACAGAAAATAAAGACATGTAAGACAAAACAGAACAACTTTATTTACCTTGTAAGTAGACGTAAATTCATTTTATACGTGTGTCATTTACACAGGTTACCATCTAAAGACAAGTCGAAAAACGAAATCTAATTCTATGAACTCCACAACATTTGCATATAAACGTTGAACAATAATTATCATAATTGTACTTAACTAATTGTATCTTGAATCTTGTATCTAAACGAAGCACACATATCTAGATGCCCGCTCTGTGGCATCGATATCGATCGTGGACTAGGCTCCAAACTAAAATAAACATAAAATCATATAGTTACCTAAAAGATACGAGTATATCCAGGCCATTTCGCAATTTCTCCCCACTCTTCATGTACAAGCCATCGATCATATGCAATTATTATACATTTATATCTACATATAACACGACACATACTCATTTTATGAAATTAGAAATTTCGATATAGACAAAACGACACAAAAAGAAGAACAACAAAAATAATACAAGTAATGACAAAAATCAATAAGAAAATAACAAAGCATAAGACGTACAATATTTTTAACGTAAGTAGTGTTGAATCTTCGATAATAAACTTATATATATAAATACTATACCATTAATCAAAGCATTTTCGTATTTTTATTTCTCACGGGGAGGCATCTCATGGGCAGAAGAATCATGATAGATATAATCTTTCAAATGAATTATTCCAAAATTCAGAAGAATATTGAAAATAAAAGATGTCCATTATGCTGAGCTTACTTTGTCAAGAAGCCACAGGAATCCAATTATACCACGCTCAAATGCAATTACTCCAAGTTAACCCTTCACCAACTGTTGTGCATTTTATGCCTGCAAATATTTCTCTGGGTCAGCAGGCAATCAATGAACTTGTAGCCTGTTGCGATTGTTGTTGCCCCCAAGACACATTTGTTTCCTGTGGGTATGTGTGCTTGTATGAATTTATTTTCAATTTTATCATTTCCCATTTAAGACGAAAACAAAGTCACCCGAAGAACGTGACCAGCATGTCCAACAGTTGGCACGGTCAAGCCACTAACTTTGCTCATCACAAAGTTAAACCGACAAAACTACACAAGCTCACACACAGATACGCACCAGCCCACAGACAGAGCTTATAATTGTGGCCAAATTGATAGTTATGAATGTTACAAAATGCTTTATCAATATTATTGGGAAAAGAAAATATGTAATTAATAACAAGTAAATTGATAGTTATGAATGTTACAAAATGATTAATCAATATTTATTGGGAAAAGAAAATATGTTATTAATAACAAGTAAATTAATTTGGCTTTATAGTACTTCAAAACCTTTTTTCATTTAGAACCGATGGTTAAGAACTTAACTTAACTAGAACTAGTTTGCATTTTAGGAGCGAACAAGCTTTAAAGAGTCTTTTCCCACACGATTCAGTAGGAAATTCGGACTGTCAAATTAATGGGTCACAAACATATTGATTTTTTTTAAATTGTCTGTGTTTAATTTTCCATCTGTACTTTATGATGTCAGAAATATCTTAGGGCTCCAAGAGAAAGGCTTATTTCATTGCATACTTTCAGATGGCTTATCAGCATTCGGGGCATTCCTGATAGTTAAGAACTATCTGTTTCTGCGTCCAAATAACAAACCCCATTGACACTATTTCTTTGACCTCTGCTGTAAGCGATCTAGTATGTGTGGCGGAGGTAAAGGCGAAAATGTAAAGTGACTTTTTGGGGTTGGCACTCTGGCCATCGTTGCGGTCAATGGGGGCTGTGGGGCTTAAGGTGTAACGACCCAGGCCTTTTTGGCCTCCTTCAATGCCACCGCAGACTCGCACAACGCCCTCCGACAGACACTCACACCCACAACCGGGGGAATTACATTTCCGGTTCGGGCCGCTTGCGGAAGTTTCGCGTCAAATTAAATGCTCAGGGCTGAAATTATGACAGCTCCCGAATGGGTGGGAACCATGGTATAAATACGCCCGCCTGGAATGGACTGGCATCAAATCGTCAACAAATTGACCAGCGAACATGTGGACAGGACTCGGTTGCGCACTTCTCTGCCTGGCTTTGGTCCAGGCGGCTGTTATCCGTCCGAGGGGGATGCGGCGAGTCCGGAAACCACCACTAGTGTGGTTTTGTGGATCGGGAGGGGGAGGGGATGTCACCACCGAGGAGTCCGCCACTCTGGCGGGTCCTGCTTTGAGTCGCGATGAGGAGGCCAGCATACTGATTGATCCCGCCCCGGGCACTTTGGAGGAGGATGGCGCCGTGGTCCCAGAGAAGTCCGGGAAGCTGCTGCTGCTCAGTACATCGCCCAAGCGACTGCATGAAAACGAGCGGCAGCTGGAGGAGCGGGACGAGGAGGAGGCGGAGGAGAATAAGGCCGATGCCGAGCCAACCACAACTGAGCAGTCAAAGGAGCAGGAGGAGGAGGTCACCCCTGAAAGTTCAGCCGCAGAGGGCAGCACTCCTCCGACGACTACGACCAAACTGTTTGCCATCGATGCCACCCCGGGCGGAGTGGACTCCCCGCCGCCGAATGTGGTCGTAACCTCCGCCCAGGACAGTTCCAACGCCACGGTCTCCATTGCCGAGCAGCCGCAGGTGCCCGGCGACAACAATGCGGCCGTGGAGCTGGCCCTCGTGGAGCCGGAGGCCGAGTACGTGCTGGTGGATGGCAGCCACGACGACCTGGACCTCCAGCTAGCCAGCTTCACGCACATCAACAGCGACTTCCACTTGCAGCCGGTGGTGCATTCCGTCGAAATCGTGCCCACCAGCATCGATGATCCTTTGATTGTCAATTACGTGCACAATTTGCGGTGACTCGGCCGAGGAGGCGTGCCCGGGCGAATCAATTAACCCGATGCGGTGGCATCCGGACTCTGTTAAAGTTGCTTCATACCTCTTTTATTATGACTTTTGTTACTCCTTGAATATACTTCCGAATGGCTTCTTATGCCTTTAACGAAATAAATGAAAACATACAGATCAAATTGAAGAACTATTTCGCTTTGTAAAATCAGAACCGTCAAACAGTGGCCATGACCATGACTGGTTTATCCGAAGAAGATTCAATTGTTGCCTTTTTAAATTGGTTTTGACAAAAACAAATCGTTTCATAAATATGGTACTTTGTGTTAGCATTTATTGGAGCTGTCGCTTCAACTGAATGCCGTGCTGAACCCACGAATTTCTCCCATAAAATATTCAGAAATATTGCCATAAATGTCTGCCTCAGAAACTCCTCCCGCTCAACAAGTCCTCTTTGGTAGAACGCAGGTTCAATGGTCTCCGGTGGATTTAACGTCCCACCGCCCTCGGCCCCCTCCCCTTAGATGGTACGAAAAGCACTCGCACACTCGTTATTCAATTTGAATCCTCCATGAAGACGGGATTGGGGGATGGAGGCTCTAAGCTCCACCTCCGAAGACGCCTCGCGCCTTTCCGCATGCCACGCACGTTCCACGGTTAAAACTTTGCACATCCGCACGTCAAATTTAATACGGATGCCGGGAAGAGGAGCTCTCCGGCTGTCTCCAGCCATAACCAGTCACAATTTGATAGAAAACAGTTTGTTGCTCTACGCCACTCCTACTTCAATTGGGAACGAAAACAACATTTAACAAAACATTCAATGACGTTAGAGCAACAAAGTTTGGAACGTGTCAGAACTTCCGGTCGATGGAAATGATGAAGTCCATGACGTTATAATTTGTATACCGATAAAGCCTTCTAGAATCTTTACTGTCAAGTTAAATAAACCAGTTAATTTAGCCAGAAACTTGTGGTTTATAAAGCCTGTCATTCCGTAATGTGCTCCGTTTAATAGTTCATCCCAACTAAGAGCAACATTCTTTAGTTAACATTAAAAAACATTTATTTGTTCACACTCACAAATATCTTAAATTTAAATCTTAAAATACTAAACTGTTAACAAGGATTATAATGTAGCTGCCATCGGAACTATTACCACCGCTGCTCCACATGCGTGGTGTAGACGAATCCCCGGGATCTCGGAGCCTGCACCAGAGGCTGCGATCGCAGGGAATGGCCACCGGAATGGAGGACGGAGCTCTGGCCACCAGAACAGCAGGTCCCACATTGGCGGTGAAGACCACACTCTCCGCGTCGGGCTCATCCTTCGATCCAGGTTTCGGTGTGGGTTTCAGGGGATCCGTGCTGACGCCACAGACCGGGTGATCGGCATTGCTGTCAGTGGAGTTGCTGGCGGAGATCTGCTGTTGCTCCGCCGGCTTCTGTTCGGTGGGCAGTCGGAAGGCGCGACTTGGTCGGTAACCAGCTGGTGGGTAGGGAGCCTTCTCGAAGGCACGACCAGAACGGGCTTCCACTGCCGGGGGAATAGTGGTGGCGTCCAGAGACTCCCAGTTGGTGGTGGTGCTCCAGTCCCCAGTTGGCTCCGTGGTGCTGGTCGAGAGATCTTCCAGAGGCAGCTCGGTTGTGGTGGTTAGCTGATCCGCACCCAAACCTGATCCCTCCAGAACCTCAATTTGCACGTCACCGGGCACTTCTTGCACCTCAACTTCCACTTCGCCTGGCAGCCAGAAGGAGCGACCTTGTGGCCTATAGCCCGCTGCAGGATAGGGCGCCGCCTTGACCTCAACCGCCTGATCCTCCTGCACACTGACCGCATAGCGATTGATCCTGATTTGGCGTGATTCGATCTGAACGGGACTGAAGGCCCAAAGGCAAAGGATTACGGGTAGAAGCCACTGCATGCTGAACTTTCGATCTCGGCCCGGATTTAGAAACTGATTCCAGGTGCGATGGCGGGTGATACTTTTATACAAAGTTCTCGAAATCGAGAGTCGTCCCGGGAATATAGACATGAGGCTTCTATATCGACACGACATCGATTAGGCGCACACTTAATGATTTATTTTGCATAGCTTTTTGTTTGTTTCTGGTCTCCGCCGACAAAACCACGTCCGCCGCCTACTCATCCACCAATCGCCCACATTATCGCCGGTCTCCAACTGCCACACTGTCCGATGTCCACGTCCGATTCGCCATGTTCTATGAAAATTAAATGCGTTTCGTACGTGATACGCAATCCAATCCCTAACCAATTGAAAGCGAAAACGAAACGAAGTCGACATCGAGCTCTGTTGTCAATTGCATTATGCTGGAATTGTCAGTTTGAGCGTTAGAATTTTTGATTAAACACTTATAATCGATATTTATGCGATCAACGATTTGGCGTTGAGGTGACCACCAAGGTCACAAGACCCATTCCTCAGACGATTACTTTGTGTCACGTCCTAAACTATCATTACATGAAATGAACTAATGATTTAATATAGTTAATAGGTGCGGACAATACTTTATTTAGAAGTATAAAATATAAGTGAAATTAAAGAAATTATTTTTTTTTAATTTGAATCATATCTATAAGTAAGTTACCTAATACAAATTTATAATTTCAAAACCTTTTTGTAAAGTATATACAAGAATACACATTTTGTGTTCAAAGTTGTCAGTAAATTTCAATTTCTGCTAACACAAAGTAGCTCAATCAGGTTAACGCTAAAAAAGTTTGTTTATAAGTTTTGAGAGAAATTTCTTTTGAAATATTGGTAATTTATACAATTTCTTCTGAAATATGGTATTTTTTATCATATAGGCTTTGGTTATTCTCACAGCGAAGCCACGCACTAAATAGATTTCTTCCATTTCCAATACCCCAATATCCTTTAACTTCACCCAAAATTTACGAGTCACCATTAATTCCATCTCCTGTCACATTACGAGCATTTTAATATTGAACGATTGGTTTAATCGAGGTGGAGCACACTCTCTGATTTGGACTGATTGCTGGTGGAACCTCGGACCTCTGCATCTGCTTCCTCTTTCTGGTCACGTCGTGGGCGCATAAAGACGCCGCAGACACCGCCGATCGTGGGGAACCAAGACCATAGTAGAGTGCCGACGTCAGAGCATAGGTCCAAAAAAGGATGCCCCTACTGGGTCCACGCGCCGCACACTAAGCAGGTGCCCATCCAAGTCCTACCTATAAAAGCGCCCAGGGAGCTCTCCAAGTCATCAGTCGGTGGTTCAGCCTTCCCATAGATACACTTCCATCACACCAACTCCACCATGGCAAAGTTCCAAGTAGTCCTCGTGGTTGCGGCCCTTAGCTTGCTGGCCGTTTCTGAAGCCCAGAAGCAGCGCTACTCGCAGCGCTTGAGCCGCGGACGTTCGAGGTATTCCGCTCGCCAGGAACTGGCTCCCGCGGACGGAGGCGATACGGACGCTGTGACGCCCTACCCCTCGGCCGACGAGCTGAAGCCGGAAGTGCCGTTCGATGAGGCGGCTGCTCCCTCCGCCGCTGAGCCCACACCGGATGCCGTTTACGGACCGCCCGATGCTGCGCCCAACAACGTTCCCGACGAGGTGTACGGCCCGCCGGACGTGACCGGAAACGACCTGCCCGCCGCCGCTGACATTCCGGCGGAGCAGCAGGCTCGCTTGGTGGCTGCCAGGAGGGCTGCCAATTACCGGAGAATCGCTCAGCCCGTGGCCTATCGTCGTCCGGCTTCCGCTGCAGCTCGTCCGGCCAAGTTGAGCGCGCCCGCTCCACCGTGCGACGATTCTAGATTGGCAGGTTAGCAGTTAATTTAAATCAATACGTTTCTCTCCCCAGTTCGATTTCTTATCTGAGCTTTAATCGTTTGCTGTTTTTCTTCATTGATGTACTTATTTAAGTGGCTGTAACATCTACATAATCACATATATATGAGTTCTTTCGTTACGTTATTAGTTAAGGAACCCAAAAACTAAGTTTATACTATAAGTATCAACCAATTTTAAATCTACACTCCTTTAATGGTTTGATTATTATTACTCTGAGTTAATACATAGTCTTTTATTCATTGCAGCACCCAACTCAAAACAAAAACCCATGACGATCCAACCGAGACACGATGACGACAAAGCTACACTCGCGCACACTTTTTTCACCTGAACACACTGATACACACATGAAAACCTTACTCGATTATAATATAACACAAATAAATCATGTTTTGAGATAGAACGTTCTTTTTCTGGCATACATTCCTGTGAGTCACTTCAGCACAGACACAAAAGAAATTTTGCTAGACGCGCCCAAAATCAAAATTTCCTGCCAGCTCGATCGAGATGATGTTGTGAATGGTCTGGGTGGAGGGGAAGACCACAAACTGGTTTGAGGACGCACGCTTCACAAAGGGGTGACGAATTTGGGATTGCCCCAGCCGCAAAAAAACGAGAAATTAACGCAGTCTTATCGACCCAGCGAAAAATAAATACTCTACATTCTGCTAAAAATGTAAACGAGATCACCTAGTAGTTATAATAATATTCCAAAAGGCATAACAAAACCAGACCAATGTTTTGATTAGAACTTTAGGTCTCAAGTATGTAATTGTCTATTAAAGGGAGACACCAGCAGAATATATAAATAAATATTCCTATATATATATTCCTATAAATATGATTAAATCATTTATTGACATACATTCTATAGAAAATTTATAAAGAATTGAATTAAAAATTGTTTTAGTACCAAAAACTTGCATAACAAAAATTATTCAACTTGTGCGAACCGAAATGGAAAAGTGACAATGTCAGGCAGAGTCAAAAGCCATAAAGATTAAAGCGCTATTAATCATAAAATTAGGAAGTTTAAGAACAGTGAATTAAGAAAAAAAGTAATATTTGAATTAAACAATGACTCTGCAAATATCCCATAGAAACAGGGAGACTGTGCATAAGAGAGAGGTATATCATAGGGGGATCCTAAAATTTGATTAGTCCCATCAGCATCTCATTTATAACACTGAAAAAAACGGTTTAATTTTGAATCTTAATTATATCTAAATGTTATTAAGAGTTTTAAATATTTGACATCGCGACCATTAAATTCTACAAATCTTTAAGCTCAATAAACACGTATTTAAGACTCGAATTAAAATGTCATTTAATATGCATATTTTAATAAACTGGTGAATTCTACTTGAATTTTCTTTCTGTGCACCTTTTCTGACTCAAAGAAAAGCTGCGGTCGAACAGAGAGTCAAAACTTATTTAAATGATCGTACAAGCTGCCTGTACTCAGTTGCCGGAGAAGATCAGACCAGTTAACATCGCGTAAAGCCATCAGAGAAATTCGTAAAGAAGAAGTGAAATTCGCTTGCAAAAATGTTCAAACTAATCTTAACTGCGGCTATCACCATGACTTTGTTGGAAAATATTCAAGCTCAAAGACCAGCTTTTTCGGGTTTGAGACCACCAGGTGGACTGAGTCAAAAGGACAAGTACCATGCCACTCAGAACACAGCTGTGGAGAATATTACCGGCGTGGATATAGCTACGAGATTTGGAGAGTCATCCAGTTCGCAAAGGCCTGCTCTTATAGATCTACCCTTTGGGGCGTCCCAGAGACCGCCCGTTGGAGTTCCCGTAGTGCTGCCAATAAGCAACTCCGATCCGGAGCAGGTTCCAGCTGTTGCCAACCGATTCGGAGCACCTGATTCCCAAAATGCATCTACTACTACTACTACTTCCACCACCGCCAGCACCGCAGCCCCAGTGGCCCCAGTTTTTAACCAACTTCCCGTCGATGCCCACGGAGACCGAGAGTGGGTTAACTACTTGAGTCAGCTGCCGGTGGAAAACCAGCCCTTCTGGTTCATAAACTACCAGGCCATCGAAGCCCATCGGAACAGCTCCAGGCCTAATGTGGGTGCTCTGGAAACACCGGGATCTTTCTTCCGCGGATAGCAGCTTCAATTGGAATTTACAAAAATCTACGCTTAGACTACTCTTTAAAAATATTTTCGAATTTTAATATAGAATTATTTATTTACTTTTATAAAGAATATTTGCTTTTGCACATGAGTATTTATAGATTAAGATAACCTTTTCTGAGCAATTCAAAATTGATAAGCTTTAATAATTCTCATCATCTCACGCTATTTACTTATTGAGAAGTTGAATTGCGAATAATCTCATTGCCTATAAACTGTGTGCTTTACTAAACGAATTGAGAGAGATTGTATAAAAGCTTTAGTAACCCAGGTACACAGCCAAACATTTCCGCGAACCATCCATGCTATTTCATGTTTTGGTACTCCTGAGTTAGAGAGAGAATACGTACAATCTGTATACGTATAGTTTCCAAGACCTCAGCGTTCATATGGACTGATGAACAGTTTGGGGGGACTGTGGGCATTAGAGTGGGCATGGCAATATATATTTAAGGTCAATTGGGTAGGTATTGAGGTAATGTGACTATCATTTTGAATGTAACTATCAGTACAAAGGCAGTACTTGATATTGAACTTATTTATTATACCCGTTACTCGTAGAGTAAAAGGGTATACTAGATTCGTCGGAAAGTATGTAACAGGCAGAAGGAAGCGTTTCCGACCCCATAAAGTATATATATTCTTGATCAGGATCACTAGCCGAGTCGATCTAGCCATGTCCGTCTGTCCGTCTGTCCGTCTGTCCGTCTGTCCGTCTGACCGTCTGTCCGTCTGTCCGTCTGTCCGTCTGTCCGGATGAACGCTGAGATCTCGGAAACTATGAGAGTTAGGCTATTAAGATTTGGCGTACAGATTCCTGAGCTTCTTACGCAGCGCAAGTTTGTTTCAGTAGACTGCCACGCCCACTCTAACGCCCACAAACCGCCCAAAACTGAAACTCCTACAGTTTTGATGCTAGATAGAAAATTTTAACTGAAATGTATTGTTCTCATCAATACCTATCGATTGACCTAAAAAAAGTTTGCCACGCCCACTTAAACGCCCACAAACCGCGAAAACCTGTGACGCCCACAATTTGGATGCTAGATGAAAAATTTGAACTGAAATGTATTGGTGTCGTCAATACCTATCGATTGATCCAAAAATAAATTTGCCACGCCCACTCTAACGCCCATAACGCTTAAATCTGTCTACCGCCGGTAGGTGGCGCATTTGAATTTCGCTTTGCTGCTTGCATATCTCCATTTCCCTTTGAGTAACGGGTATCTGATAGTCGAGGTACTCGACTATAGCGTTCTTCCTTGTTTTTTTGATAAAATACCAAATCTTCAACTACGAAAAATATAGTAGTTCACAGGTTGAATAAACCAGCATTTATTTTAAAACAAGGAAGAACGCTATAGCCTAGTGCCTCGACTATCAGATACGACTATCCCCTAAAGGGAGCAAAAGGGAGATGGAGACGTGCAAGCAGCAAAGCAAGATTGTAAAGCGCCACCTCACCCCGATTTCATTGTATGGTTATGTGGGCGGCAGAGAGATTTAAGCGTTATGGGCGTTAGAGTAAGCGTGGCATGAAGATAGGGGTCCTAAATCTGTATTCTCAAGCCTCTAGCTCTTATAGTTTCCGAGATCACAGCGTTCACCCGGACAGACGGTCATGGCTAAAGCGAAGGCTAGTGATCCTGATTAAGATTATATATACTTTATGGGGTCAGATACACTTCCTTCTACCTGTTACATACTTTTTTCCCGAATATAATACACCCTTTTACTCCACGAGTAACGGGTATAATTATAGTTTCGTGAAATTTCTTACGTTGCATATATTTTTGCAAGTAACATAGAGATGAAAGAGGTCTATTCGCACACGGACCCCCTAAGCTAAGTGTAGATGCTATAAGTGGGCCTCTGCGGTACTCCAAAGGGTTATTGTTATTCACAGTGTTAAGCGTTGAGGACTCTACAATTTATTCCGGCCTTATCACCAACAGGAGGTCTCTGTATAACGTTATTAATAGGGCAATGGGCTTGGTCATGTATGCATTCAGCAAATCGATTGTTTCCGAGATTTCACATCCCTTACCAAACCACCTAGTGTCTATTGCTTTTAACTTTTTAATTTACGGTCCTTTTTGGATGGGTAAACTATACTCATGTGGTATTATTTCGAGTTAGTTTTGCATTCACCTTCCGGACACTTCCTGTACGATTCCTGCGTTTAGAGTGATATTTTGGATGTAAATGGTTCAAAATATCTAATGCATTGTATACCTTACAAAATCACGAATGTAAAGCAAACGCAAAAAGCTAATTAGGTATTTTCATGCGAACAAAGAACTGTGTTTGCATTACAGTTGAATAGTGTGCTGAAGGGGAAAACGTCATGTCCGCCAAAAAATAATCTCGAATTTATTGAAGTTATGTATAAACTTAATCTTCAATTCACATGTTCAATCTCCATTTCTAAGCTCCTATTTTTCTCGAAATCAATACCTGGTTCAAATATCTTTTTCAGTTTCCACTTTGGCGGTAGTGCTTGTACTGTACTGCCGGCAAAATAGCTTGATAGTACATTACGTTCGTGAGGCAGCCACTTCATCTTAAAATAAAACAAAGCATTAAAAATGCATGGAAAATAGAAACAAAGTTTCACAAAAGACCATAAAATTCCTGAAAAATATTTACTGGCGAAAAAAAGACCAAGAAACCTTTCAAAAGCTGCTAAAGCATTTCACATGTCAAGGGGATATGCAAAGGAGTCTGAGAGGAAGTTGGTCCACAATGGGTCTTTTGTAGGCCATTGTTAAAAGCCAATGATTTGCGTATAAGATGGCTGTGAGTGGAAAACTATAAGCCAAGTGTTAAAGTGGGGGAAAGAAAAAAGTCTAAAAAGTAGAACATTTGACAAATACATTTATTACTAAAAGAACAATATTTAAAACCACATTTATTTTAACGCCAAATGTTTGATACAATTTTTGTACGCTTGCAGCGGGTACTATGATGTCAGTCAGAAGTATGCAACTAATTCAGAAGACGTTTCCGATTTAATAAAAATATATACTTGTACTCTTATATTCGATCATCGATCTAGTCATAAACGGACATGGCTTGTGTGCCCGTATATCCGTTTGAAGCTATCGAAAAATTGGACTACTGTATCATATAGTATATCGGTATATTTATGTACAAATCTCCCAAATATTCCGTTTCCGTAACATACGTACACTCAGAAAAAAAGCATCCTAAATCTAAACGCGATTTATACATGATTTCGGATAGTGTTTTTTGGGCTTGCAGGGGGTATAATGATTTCAGTCAGAAGTTTGAAACGCAGTGAAGGAGACGTTTCCGACCCCATAAAGTATATATATTCTTGATCAGCATGACAAGACGAGTCGATCTAGCCATGTCCGTCTGTCCGTCCGCTTCTACGCAAACTAGTCTCTCAGTTTTAAAACTATCAAAATGAAACTTTCCCAAAAGTTTTATATCTTTTGAAGGTAGTATATAAGTCGGAACCAGCCGAATCGGACAACTATATCTAATAGCTCTCATAGGAATAATCGAATAAAAAAAATTTTAAAAAATTATATCATTGGTGTTTTTTATCATATAACCTCCTAAGCTTGGAAATAACATTTTTTAATTTGTTTTGAATTTCGAATTTAATTTATGTCATATAGCTGCCATAGAAACGATCGGAAAATTGGTTGGAAAACAATATGAATCAAATTACAGCTTCGGTGTTTTTTAACATATAACCTCCTAAGCTTAAAAATGACATTTTTTAATTAGTTCTGAGTTTCGAATTTAATTTTATCAAAATCGGACGACTATAGCATATAGCTGCCATAGGAACGATCGGAAAATTGGTGACAAAATAATATGAAACAAATTATAGCTTCGGTGTTTTCTGACATATGTATATGCTATTGGGAATATCATTTTTTGTATTTTTAAATTTAATAAATATAAGTGCAAGGGTATACAAGCTTCGGCTTGTCGAAGGTAACTTCCTTTCTTGTTGACATATAATCTTATACTAATGTATTTTTAAGAATTTCGAATTTAATTTAACAATTATAAGTGCAAGGGTATACAACTTCCTTTCTTGCTATACCCGTTACTCGTAGAGTAAAAGGGTATACTAGATTCGTCGGAAAGTATGTATGTATGTCTGTCCATCTATCCGTCTGTCTGTCCGTCCGGATGATCGCTGAGATCTCGGAAACTATAAGAGCTAGGCTATTGAAATTTGGCATGCAGATTCCTGAGCTTCTTACGCAGCCCAAGTTTGTTTCAGCAGCGTGCCAAGTCCACTCTAACGCCCACAAAACGCCCAAAACTGTGGCTCCTACAGTAATGTATGTTTCCGAGATCTCAGCGTTCAACCGGACAGACGGACTGACGGACATGGCTATATCGACCCGGCTAGTGATCCTGATCAAGAATATATATACTTTATGGAGTCGGAAACGCTTCCTTCTGCCTGTTACATACTTTCCGACGAATCTAGTACACCCTTTTACTCTACGAGTAACGGGTATAAAAATCAAACTTAATTTAAGCATAATAAATTCTTAGTTAAAGATCATTTCATACTTAATTTTGTCCGAAAATGTTCTCAAATTAAGAATGGTGGTTTAAGAACGAAACGTTCTTGAAATGAAAAGAGAGTTCATTGGTTTTTTTTTCTAAGTGTATAATTTTAATTGTATGATATGGTTTCACCTACAACTTTGGCTTGCTTATGCCGCCTTCCTTTTTTGGTTTTTATTTATAGTTTTCAAAATTTGATGCCTGGTTGACTACCACAAAGATTTATTTTATAGTAATCCATATTTTAGCCCTTACCCATAATTAAGAACGTTCCAACTTTATCGAAAAAACAAACACAGTATTTATCTATTACCAAAAATATATTTCAACGACATAAACAAGTTCAAACGATGTTACATTAAAGCAGCTGAGCTATTGCTTACCAGCCCAATTGCTGGGGAGCAGCGTTGTAGGCGAGGTAGTAGGGCTGCTGGCCCGCCCCCACATAGTAGAACTGGGGCGTGGTCAACACAGGAGTCTGAGGGGCTGGAACCACTGGAGCCACTGCCTCATCCACGGGCAGCTCCTCCAGGCGGGCTATGCGCTGGCGCAGGCGCTTGGGCTTGGCCAGCTGCAGTTTGGCCAGTCTCTGACGGCTGCGCAGGCGGGCCGGAGCGGAGGAGGGTGTGGTTGCCTCCAAGGAGCTCTCCTCGGTTTCCACCTCCTCGGTCTCCGGGTTGGGCTCCAAATTGTCCAACGGTGGCTCTTGCTCCGATGGCAAGGCGTCTGTATCGACATCCTCAGGGGGTCCGTAGGTCAGGGCGGGCTGTTCGGGGGCCGGTTTCAGTTCCGCAGCCGAAGGATAGGGTGTTGGGGGAGCCACCTCCTGTCTTGCAAAGGCCACCGGACGCAGGCGCAGATTCCGCCGGAGTGGAGTTTGCGCCGAGCAAGTTGCGGCCCAGATGGCCAGAAGGAGAAGCGAACTGAAAAGCTGATAACGTGCCATGATCGTGGGACTTGCAGTGGTGCTATGTTGTGGGTCGTATATGGAGCTTTAACTTTTATACCCGCAATACAACGGCGGTGGCCCTGCTGATCGGCACTCAGTGGTCACCAATTCTAGCCCGGCCGACAACGCCGTGCATTTTAAGCAGAGCGCCGCGATTTGAAAGCCATCAAAGTGCGTATGTCAAGCAGGCGCCGCACAGTGGAGTGGAATTTAAAGTGCTATCAAATCTCTAGCGCTAGTTTTTGGGTGGACCTTAGGAATACATATCGTCATCTACCGCTTATAAAAAGAGGCTCTGATGACAAAAGAAACAAGGAAGAACGCTATAGTCGAGTACCTCGACTATCAGATACCCGTTACTCAGCTAAATGGAGATATGCAAGCAGCAAAGCGAGATTAAAATGCGCCACCTACCGGCGGTATACAGATTTAAGCGTTATGGGCGTTAGAGTGGGCGTGGCAAATTTTTTGGATCAATCGATAGATATTGACGAGACCAATACATTTCAGTTAAAATTTTTTATCTAGCATGAAAATTGTGGGCGTCACAGGTTTTTGCGGTTTGTGGGCGTTAAAGTGGGCGTGGCAAACTTTTTTTTGAGTCAATCGATAGGTAATGACGAGACGAATACATTTCAGTTAAAATTTTTTATCTAGCATAAAAATTGTGGGCGTCACAGGTTTTCGCGGTTTGTGGGCGTTAAAGTGGGCGTGGCAAACTTTTTTTTAGGTCAATCGATAGGTATTGATGAGAACATTACATTTCAGTTAAAATTTTTATTCTAGCATCAAAACTGTAGGAGCCACAGTTTTGGGCGGTTTGTGGGCGTTAGAGTGGGCGTGGCACTCTACTGAAACAAACTTGCGCTGCGCAGGAATCTCAGGAATCTGCGTGCCTAATCCCAGTATTGTAACTCTCATAGTTTCCGAGATCTCAGCGTTCATACGGACAGACGGACAGACGGACAGACGGACAGACGGACAGACGGACAGACGGACAGACGGACATGGCTAGATCGACTCGGCTAGTGATCCTGATCAAGAATATATATACTTTATGGGGTCGGAAACGCTTCCTTCTGCCTGTTACATACTTTCCGACGAATCTAGTATACCCTTTTACTCTACGAGTAACGGGTATAAATATATAGGTACCTCATATTACTTATCCTTTTAGCTTACATATCGAAATCAATTTGATTATCTTAAATTTGTCTTATATGATTGTGGTATTTCTTCGGAATTAGTTTTCAATCTTCTCATTTCCATTTTACTTGCTTACTTTCCACCTAAACAGTTCCATGGCGATCCATTGCTTATCCGCAGTGGGGCCAAGTTAAGTGTCAAAGTTAAGTACCCACGACGGGTTATAATTAACGGCCAATGGTTATAGCTAAGACATGGGCCCTTGACTAAATATTGTCACGTCCGTAGGCCATCGAAAGGGTGTCCCTCGGTGTGCCAAATATGAGTGGCCGAAAAATTGGGTGTATAAAAGGCCCACGAATTTCAGTTACTGACAACATTCTAAGACAACTCAACAGCAGCACAACATGGCCTACAAGTTCACCTGCTCTCTGCTCCTGATCGCAGCCCTTGCTGCCGTTTCCCTGGCAGAACCGGCTAGGTTCCGAAGCCGATCCTCTCGGTTCCAGTTTGCCCGTCAGGAGCAGGCTCCAGAGGAGCAGGCAGCTCCGGCAGATCCCTCCGCAGACATTGCGCCCACTCCGGCCTCAGCTCCTTATCCGCCAGCAGGTGTTACTCCCGAGGTGCCCTTCGACCTGCCCACGGAGACGGAAGCTCAGCCCGATCTGACCTACGGACCGCCAGCTGAGCCGGACAACACCTACGGACCTCCGGACAACACCTACGGACCTCCTGCCGAGCCCGACAACACCTATGGACCGCCGGCAGAGGGCCCAGTTGAGCAGGTCCCCGTGGATGCTGCGGAGCCCGTTCCCGCTAGTCTTATCCAACCCCGCAATGGACGCCTCCGCAGCCGTCGTCCCGTCCCGGAAAAACTCCGGAACGCCCAAATCATTCGTTCCAGACCAGTGCTGGTATACTCCATCTAAAATGGCTCTACCCGAATTTGTTAGAATACAAATGGAATCGAACCATACGGTTACACATACTTACTTCTGTTGCTAAATAAATAATCGAATTGTTGTTCAATATACTACTCATAAAACAATAAGTTGGTGAAGTCATCCCAGTCTGCATATAAAATGTTACACCTTTCGATTGTTGGTCGTAATGACCGAGTAGTCTCACAAAAATCTAAAACGTTTTAAATTCCTTAAATAATTTTTTTTCAAGCTAGTGTAAAATATGTGAGGACTGACAGAATTGATCTTAACATTTTATTGTCCTACTTGTGAGCCCTTGTACCCGGTGTGCTGGTAGCAGATAAAAATTGTAAAAAAACAAATTTTACGCTAAGCGAAATCCCAACTGAACGCGGGCAACAATAATTAAAAGAAATTGCATAAATAGAATGTATGGACCTTTTGAAGTCATTGCTTTTAATGCAAAATTAGATTTAATATAGTTGGGGTTATACTGTTCCGAAATCGAAACGCTATGGAGCATTGCAGACACAAATACCTGCTTAACTTTGTTGCTCTGCTACTGCTACGGTGGTGTTCCTATAGATTTTTTAGTCGTAGCAATACAAATATTGGGAGCAGCAACAAAATATTGTGAATTTCCAGAGTAATCAACAAATTTACTACCTTAGATGTGGACAAAAGCCTGGCATTCGTGTCGTATGAGTAATTTTTAAGGAAACTCTAAGAGCAACGTCTAATTCTTTTTTATTAGAAAATAAGATTTCAGGGCCACCCTAATGTACATATTTATTCCTGTTATTTGGAAATTTTTGTTAATTTAAATGGATCTCAATTAATTTTACACTATAGGGCCATTAGGAATCCAGATATGGATTCCAGGCTTTATTAATGCAGCGGTTGCCAGCATGGGCTTCCAGGGATGCGGCTTAAGGCAGATTACCGTCTTGGACTTTTCGTCCATATTCTCGCAGAGGATTTCCTCCGTGTTCTTGTCCCAGAAATATGTACCATTGAAATCGCCACTAACAATGTAATCCGATCGGGGACCAAAGAAATTAATCTCGCGACTGTAGGTAAAAAGCATAAAGCGATTGGTTTTGGGGAAATTAGTGGCGACCGAAGGACTTACAAATGCTTTCTGTAGTAGTGCAAAAAATCGCCATCCGTGTAATTGCGGCTGTCAAACAAATAGTTGCCTGTTCTTCTGTAGCGGGCCAGAAGCTCGCTACCGCTGTGATTGTAGACGGCAGAAGTGATGTCCGGCTTATCGTACAAGTTCGCATCTTTAAAATGTCGTGGTGTAATTTCGTGAACGGCCTCTGTCATTGTTCGCTTGTCGTAAGCGTTTAGCTTAACATCGTCTCCGCCAACGCAGAATTCCGTAGCAAAGGGATGGTGGGCGATAGTGTTCAGGTCCTCTCTCCTCTTGTTTGGACGCACTGCACTGCTGTGGTGGCTGCACTGCTGGAGCGCAGGTCAAAGAACTTCACAATTCCACAATCACCGACGCTTAATATCTCGTGACGGCTACGCGGCACTATTTCGAAATCGGCCACGCAACCGCTGTGCGTGTAGAGGCAGTGGCTAGACATGGGCGCACCTCCGGAAGGTGGAACAATGGTCCGCAGCATCTGGCCATCGTAGCTGGCGGACACGATGTCCAAGGAGCCGGCGCTATCGATGAACTTGATCTGCAAGATTTTCCCCTTGATGTCTGGACGATAATTCGTCAGTGTCCTATTCGTAGCCCAATTCCAGACGATCAAAGAGTTACCCTCCATGCCAGAAAAGCTACTCTGGTCCTGGGAAGGGATTACATTTTTTTAGTAATAAATCCGAACTGGCATCTAGCCTACTATAAATGTCAAAATCCTTAACGGGTTGTTAATCATGAATTTAAAATTAATTTATTTTGCATTTTATTAAAAATAGTTTTCTAAATAGTTTATAAAAAGATTATCATAAAGAGTTAAAAGTGTTTGCTAAAATAAACTTTCACTGCGCACGAACCCCTTATAAAATTAAATTTATTTCTAAATGAGTTTCAACACAAAATTCTCTTGTTGAAAACCCCAATTTTTTAAAAAAGTACATGAAGCTTACCTCTGAATGAGAATTACGCTCACTACTCCCTTCAATGTACTAAAAGCTTATTAAAGTAACGTGAGCTGGTAATTCATTTTGATTGTCAGAATAGATTTGAGTTCACCATCGAACTATCAAGTTCATTATTATTGTCAAGATCCTAACGGGATAAGAAACATGAATTACTAATTAATATATCTTGCGAAAAAAATGTACAATTTACCCTTTCCTAAAAAGGAAGTATGTATGTTGAAGACTTCACAAAAAAAAAGTTTTAAGTCTAAAAATTTCTGTTTAAAATTATAAACAACACACATGAGAATTTTTTTGAAGATATTGTTGCATACTTTTGTGTGAAGATTTTACTTTAGGGTAAGCTAACCAAATCTAGCTAACGAAATATTAAAAATTGTGGGCGCTAGATGGATTTGCCGTTAGAGTGAGCGTGACCTTCTGCTGGAACTTGCGCCGTGCAGGGAGTTCTACAATCTGCATGCTTAATCCCAACATGCTAGCTCTTATAATTTCCGAGATCTCAGCGTTCATACGGACAAACAGACGGACACGGTTAGATCGACTCGGCTAGTAATCTTGATCAGAATATATATACTTTATGGAGCCGGAACGCGTCCTTCTAGCTGTTACATACTTTCCGACAAATCTAGTATACAATTTTACTCTACGAGTAACGGGTATAAATACTTGCTGCTATTTCTAAAGAAGATTCGTCGTCGCTTAATGACAACCAATTATGATCGGCTATCTCCCGTTCATTGCTGTCCGCTTCCACGGTCACCTCCCGGAACTCCTGCCCGTCGTTCAATATGGACGAAGTAGATGCTGGAGAAACATATCCTGGCAGTGGTGGCGATGTCGGCTCCTCCTGCACAACTAGACTGTTATCCTTGTAGTCGCTGGTGATAGGACTGAAAGCAGTGACCTACATATATAAGCCGCAGAGTTTAATCACCGTACTTCCCCAACCAGCTCCGTGTCTTCCAGTTTTTCTGTTGGCGCTCGGAAGCGATTGGCGTCTCGCTGGCCTGACAGTCCATCATGTGGGGTGGGTTTTCTATATATATTCTCGTTTAATTCTGAGCTAGATTTGGTTTGTTTTCGATCGAGTCATCGCATGCGCTCCATATGGCGTTTCGAAAGAGATTATGATTAATCGATGACTATTATCGGTGTTCAGAAAAAATATTATTTTCTGCAGTAAATAAATATTAGTTTTGACTTCATCCAGAAGAATCAGCCACCGTTTAAAGCATTTGTGTAAAAATCTCCAAAAATTACACAATTTTGATATGATTAAAAAGAAACTTGTTTGTGAGTATGTTTTTCCCCTCAAGGGTAATTTAAATATTTAAAGTTCCGAAAAATTGGACAGATTTTTAAAGTTAGAGATTTGCCAGATTAAAGAGTACCAAAATTATGTGATCTTTCAATCTTAAATTAAATGTATGTAATACTAAAAAATTCTTTCATATTTACGTTGCAAAAAAAAATTGAATTAAAAAATAATGTTTTTTATTTGTCACACCTTTGTTATAAATTGTCATCGACCCTGATAAAAACTATGAATATGTTTGCCTATGGATGGAACGTGCCTCTTTAACTACATGCTCAATGGATTTGTTCATAGCCTATTTTGCTTCACATGAATACAAAATTCATCAATCGAAATTATGAACTACCAAGAACCCAAGATCCAAAAACAAACATTCTCAAATGTTCACAGCGACCCCAAAGCCCAAATCAAGTGTTAATGAATGATCCTATGGAGGGGAAGGGGAATCATATTCAAATCATAGCATTGGCCATTTAATTTCGAAAAAAGGTCACGTTTTGTGTATTAAGCTGAAGCCAGCGATCAGCGATCAGCGCAACATAATCAAAGCTTTACCGGGAACAAGAGCCTGAAAACTGAAAGTGACGAGCATAAATTATAGCAAACTCGATCCGGTAGCTTGCGACTATAAATAAGCCAAGACGGATTGGGAAATCAGAACAGAAGCCCTTCAACCCCGAAAATGATCAAAGCCAGCTCCACTCCAATTGTAATTCTTGTCCTGAGCCTGATGGCTCTGAGTTCGGCAGAACCGCTCCGGCGGAGATTCTCCGCCCGGCAGGAACAGGCTCCACCCAGTCCTTCCCCCACGGGTTATCCAGAGGCGGGAGTCACACCGAGTGTCCCCTTCGATCTGCCCAGCTCACAGTCAAGCCGGAGAATACTTACCTGCCACCGGATAACACCTATGGACCTCCTGAAAACACTTACGGACCACCAGATAACACTTATGGACCTCCAGAGGCCGATTTCGCGCCGGTAGCTGATCCCGAGTCGCAGCCGCAGCCTGAAAGTCCCCTTCCCGAGACCGATGATATTCCAGAGACTGAGGAAGAGTCGGTGGACAGCGCCAAGTTGCAGCCCGCTGATGCGGACGCAGAGGAGGAGGAACCGCAGTTGGAGGTGTCTGAGGATGGCGCTGTCATCGTCGTGGCTAGCAGTCTCGACCAACCACAGCCCGCCCCGGCTCTACCAGCGATTCCCCAGGGTCGCCGTTACCAGCAACCCGTTCCCCAGCGACTGATCCTGCGTCGCAGTTGGTAGACTTCCAGGAGTGTTCCAAAGAAGTCATAGGCTAGAATTTACTGTTTAGCTGCTTACCACACAAAGAAACTATTGTGTCTGACAAAATCTAATTCTTTAACTTGCTTATCTTTGAACCTTTGTTTGGACTGCAATTTAAACATACAAAAAATATAATCTTACAAAAAAATTATAAAAACATTGAAATTAATAAAAATAATGTAATTTTAAATATTTTTAACGTGTTTAATGCCTTTTTACCGACACAAATAACTCAGCAAAAGCACAGAAAAATCCTTACCAGTTTTTGATCAATAACAATTTGTCCGAACCAATTTTTAAAAAAATGTTTATACGGAAATCTAACTCAATTTTCATAACAACCATTACAACCTCTTTAGTCATCAACGCAATGGGCACGTAGCATTCCAACTGCCTTATAAGTCATCGGCCTCGTGGTTTCTTTGGGCCAGTGGATTGGGCAGTCCCCAAGGGCATCCCTAGTGGTATTTATAGGCGACACTAAGCCACACCATGCAACAGTTTAGGCTGGCATATCAAAATGTTCGGTTATCCAACTTTTTCTCTGGCAACTCTGGCCCTTTGTTCCATTCTTTGCCTGAATGGAATCGAAGCCACTCACCTGAGGTTCCCAGGACCCGCGAGGGGTAGATCCCTGCCGCTGATACTGCAAAGACAGGAGCAAGCACCATACCCACCAGCCGGCCTGATGCCGGACCGCCATTCCAACTTCCTACGGAGGAGGCAGTGGAGTTCCCTCAACCCGAAGAGACCTACGGACCACCAGCAGACACCTACGGTCCGCCTGCGCCGGTGAAGAGCCCGCTGAAGTCTATGGTCCACCTGAGCAGATCTACGGCCCTCCAGATCAACCAGCCAACGATGACAATTCGAGCACCTTACCACAAAGCGCAGCCATTATAGACTTGGCCAGTCTGCCGCTGCCTCCCCAAGCTCAGTATGTTCTTCCGCTCCTGAGCCGCCTGTCTGCCTTCCGCCCGCAGCGCCCGGCTATCGCAACTCCGCAGCGCCGGCCTGCCAACTCTCGGCTCGTCCGCGACCTAGTCCGGCCAAGATTGTAAATGCTCCAGTGTTCCCATCAACTCCCCTGGCTTTGCCCTTTGTGGATCGACGTGTTCCGTTTCGCCCGCAACCATCACGCCTGGTAGTAAATGCGCCTTTCAGACGCCCATCCAGGCACTAAACCACATCATCCACCACTCTGACCTAGAGCAGAATGCACAAATGTTATACACTGTAAATAAAGTTTGTTGTTTATGTCTAATTTTCGAACGGAAACAAGTAGAAGGGAAATTCAGAAGGCCAGTCTCTTCATCAACAGGTACATGTGCTGATCCACCTCAAAGCCGTGAAGATTGTTCGCGTCCCTTGCAGTCGCATTAGCAGGCCGCCGAAGGACACGTAGCGGAGAGCCGGGAAGCCTCGTTGTGCGCCTCGTCGCCCTCGATCCGGTAGATTTTGCCGTACATGACGTACTCGAAGCTGTCCGCCCGCGTGCCCTCGTGCTCCATTGGATTGTACTCCCCGCTGTCCGGGCAGCCATCCTCGCGCAGCGTGGTGGCCAGGACCAGACGGAACTTATCGCCCAGCTCCATGGGATAGAGCCACGAGTTGATGTCCAGGATGAGGTCCATCTTGAAGGACTCGGACTCGCAGTGCAGGCGGGACACACGATCGAACTTCTTGCCCTCCGGGTCCATGTCCTTAACGTTGAAGATGTCCTCGAAAGTACGCCAGCCATGGTAGCTGGAATTGTTGTGATTTTTTATGGTTACTTGGGAATTCGCTCACCGGCGCGCCAAATATGTACACCCTACCTTGTGTCGGTTTGTGGCCTTTGTAAATGTCTTAAGAACTTCACGCGGAGGTAGTGTGGTGTTCCCTAATGAGCAGGCTTAATTTAAGCAGAGTATTTTAATATAAACACCTTTGCTAACTAATATTTTGCATTTCTTTGCGCGTGTTTCGGAATCAGAGATGCCAGACCTCTCAAGCGCTTCCAGCGTTGCCACAAGAGCGTTTTGCCAGTGTGCAAAAGTGGTCGAGTCAGCCGGGCGTAAAATCGTTATTATTTATTTGGGATATTGAAATTATCAAATCATAAAACAAATTGAAAAAGTTATTTTAAGCTTAGCTTGACAAATAACAAAATATCAATGCGCACAGGCTTTTATATAAAATGAAAAAAAAAATAAATTAAATTGGATTTCCTTTGTGCGACTGCATTTAAATTGCGCAAGATAAAATGTAAGTTTAGTTACAAAACAAATAAGGAGTAGTTCATTATTTTATATTCTTGACTCACCACACCACCACTGCCATCCCTAGTCGTGCAGAAAAAGAATTCTAGTGTGACTGTCCTTCGGAGAACACACATCACTAGGACTAAGAACAACAACGAAAAACCACCGTAAACTGTTATTTATTTTGTTGGCCAAATCGGATGCGGCTTTGGACAGGTAAACCTACGTGGTCCTCAGAGTAAACCCCGGGCAGCACGATGGATACACCCTGAAACGTAGGCAAACTGCCAGCTAGCGGACTGCAAAGAGTATGTACACACAGCGATGGGGCGTTGGAATTATAAACAAATAAGAACCCAATTTTATTGCTGGCCGCAGAATGTAGAGGAAGTCGAGGTGTGTCCAAATCGTGGGTGATGAGTGGTTCCCGCGGATCGAAGCCCTTGCGATTCCCGATGACTGTGAGGGTAAGTCCGCGGCTAATTGGTTTTCGGTGATGGAACTGTGGAACTTCTGGGTCCCATGTGTAGCATCTGTGGGTATAGATTGCTTAGATCGTATGTAACTCTGCTGTGGTGCTGGCATTAACTACTAACAATCGGTGGCAAGACCCAAAAACTGCGAACTCGTCGAGTTTTGTGCTTCCAATACGAAAGACTTCAACGGCCCCTCTTCCCTCCTCCCCCTTTCCATGGCCCTTAGCCACCCCAACCCAACCCCTTGCAACCCATTACCCCGCCTATTTAGCATTACAAAACTGCTGTTATGTATTCACTTCTTTATTTTCGCTTTTTTGTGTGATTTTCGCTGTCGTTCGTGCTTTTTGCCCCGTTCTCTTTCAGTTTCGATTTCCAGCTCCGGATTCTAGCTTTAATTCGCTTTTTCAACAGTTTGGTCGAGGGCCGTTGTGTTGTTTAAGTGAGTTTTGGTTTTCAGCTTCTGCGGGTGTGGCTCTAATGAACCATTAACCCTGCGCAGGGCCAGGGGGTGGGCCGGGACCGGAGGGTTCCCAATCTGTTTGCCAGATGTTCGCCGTAGTCCAGGGTCATCGTCATCGGCTCTCTTCCAGTTGCATTTTCTTTGTGCTCGCTTTTCATTGGAAACTCCGCTGCCTGGGAGAACAGACTACTCCGGATCGCTCAGGTTGCAGAGATATCTCTATATCTATCTATAGCTCCTCAAGTGGGTGTTTGTGTGTTTGTGAGTGGTGTCTTATCGTTCAGTCGGATTGCTTATCAGTGGTTGCCTTCCATGGGATCTTATCAAACGCTTGCTCCATCCACTCCCGCTCAAACAAAAGATTAAGACAACAAACTGGGAAAATTTCTGGAAGCTTGCATTCTCTGGAAATGCCATATGATAAAACGATCATATTCGAGGACAGGGAGCTCTTAGCTTTCTACACAGTGAAAAAGATTATATCAATTCTTATAAAAAGTTATAAGTAATTGTATTGAGTTTGGGCTATTTAAAAACCCAAGATGATGAAATATTAAACTATCCTTTTTTATAAAGTCGTGTTTGAAATATTATCATTTCTCATTTACTTACAAATGTAATATTTACCTTCATAAATAATGATTTAAAACTACCAGTGACTTTGCAATCTCTGCAATTTGGAAATCTGCCTTGGTAAATACATAGTTACGTTTACTGATCATATTAAAAGTACTTTTTTGATTAAGTGCATCTCTAATTGCTTCTAGATATGCAAAATCCTAAGCTGGTAGACATTTCGGTAATATTTTTCTGTGCATACATAGGTCTTATCACTGTTGACACAGCTGGAGGTTCTGTTCCGTTGCTGTTTCTCTTTTTGTTTCTGTTTCGGCCTCACTTACTGTTACTATTTCTGTCTGTGTTTTTGATTCTCCGTCTGCTTCGGAACGTGGCGCACTGCGAGTGGAGAAATTAAACAGTTCTTAACTTTTTTGCAGCCCATCTAAACTAATTCAAACCAAAGGTGTATGGGAACATTCCTAAAAGTAGCAAACCAAACCAAAAATATAATCAGAATACCGTAAATTACGTAGAACATTAACCCTAGAAGTAAAGCAAACGCAGCTGGTGCCGGTGTCCCCGATAAAGAGGTCCCCAAAAGTATAGTTACAAATAAATAATAAAAAAAACCAATGGTACGCAGCCGACGCAGCGTGTCCAAGGAGGATGCCGTCTCCCTGCTTACGGACAGCGGAATCTCGCTGTCCTCGCCGCCGGCGGCGAGGGAATCTTCCCAGGCCCCCCGCATTCGATAAAGAGGCGAAAGAGCAGCTTGGCTAGTCTGCGAGATGCCTGTGCGGAGGAGGAAGATGAAGACGGCGGCGAGCAGGACTCGAAGGATGCCGATTACGTGCAGCCTCCGCCGAAAAAGTCTGCTCGGAAGGCGGAGCCAGTGAAAAGGAAGCACCATGTCTGCAGTCACTGCTCCAAAGAGTTCGGTGGCAAGACCGACTTGCAGCGACACATGCTCATTCACTCGGATGAAAGGCCGCACAAGTGCAAGGATTGTGGAAAGAGTTACCGCCAGGCGGTCAACCTCAAGAACCACATCACCACCGCCCACGAGCACCGGAAGCAGTTTGCCTGCTCGCAGTGTCCCAAGTCCTTCGCCCTTAAGGAGCGCCTGCGTCTCCACATGCGCCTACACTCTGGCGAGAAGCCGTATCCATGCGCCCTCTGCGACAAGAAATTCGCCCGGGGAGGTCAGGTGAGTAACACGAAATTGTGTATATTGAATACCACTCTTGATTCCTAAAATGTACCGAAAATGTTCATTGCGGATATAAGACTTAAAAAGGTTAAGCTTTAAACGCCTATAAAAATCTTTCTAATCCGACTTCAATTAATATGATTACCCGGTCCAAACAGTTTTTAAACTATATTTAGCAAAGTTTGTTAACGTTGCTAAGTAATATGTATATCAATATAATTTGTAACTGCGTTGCAGATATAGACAGAGTGCTTCAATATTTTAAATTTGTTTCTTTTGGATTAAAAGTTAATTTTAATTACGACATTTGAGTGTTTCTATCGATCATAATGGAAGTTTTAATAAAACTGTTTTATGCAATTTTTCAATTAAGATATTTAGTTTTGATTTTCATTGACCTCTACCTTCCTCCAAAATTTACTTCATTATCCTTCCCTAAAGTACCTCGAATGTTATTAAATTTATTTTAAAGAAGGTACTAAAAGCAATATAGTCTGACACAAATCTTGAATTTTACAGCTTCAGCAGCACATGGTTTCTCACCACAAGACGAGTATCCAGCAGTTCAACTGCACCAAGTGCTCGGCCAGTTTTTCAACTAACGCGAACCTGCGGGTGCACATGGAGCGCCACGAACAGGGCATGGAACACCGGTGCGGCATTTGTGAGAGCCAATTCGCCAACGAGCTGGCCCTGCGGGCGCATATTAACCAGGAGCACCACAAGCTGACGCAATTCGAATGCGAGATCTGCCACAAGATGATTGAGCCGGACGAGGATCTGGCCACTCACATGCAGAAGCACGCCGCGGTTAAGACGCACGTGTGCGAGGTGTGCAACACGTATTTCACCCAGAAGAGCCAGTACAATGTCACATGCGGATGCATACGGGCGAACGGCCCTACCAGTGTAGGGTAAGTCGTAGGAGTCTTAGCTTGGGAGTAGTTATAGCTCATATCTCTCCTCTTGACAGATTTGCCACCAGACCTTTGCCCACTCAAGCGTTCTAAAGCTGCACATCCGGAAGCACACGGGCGAAAAACCCTTTCGTTGCCAGTTATGCGAGGACGACGTGGCCTTCTCTCAGCTGGCGCACCTAAAAAACCACATGAAGAAGATACACAAACAGCAGAAGCCCTACATGTGCGAGGGGTGCCACGAGTTTTTCAAGATTAAGGTGGAGCTGCAGGCCCATGCGGAGCAGTGCGCCAAATGTCCTGCGGGTGGAGACGAGTCCGCTGGCAGTCAGTCTGAGGACGCACAAGTCCTCTCCACCATAAGATTCAACATGGCAGTGGTACTGAAGAAGATTAGCTCCGCGCAGAAGCTGCGCCAGTTGGGTTATGAGAAACGCCTGATCGATAATGTGGTCATTGCCTCCCTAAAGCTGGCCCAACGACCCTCGCACGACGACGTCACGTTGACGCCTTTGGTCAGGCTTCGGATGAATGTGGAGGAGTTCCTCAAATGGATTGTGCCAGCACCTACAATGAAGAAATTCAGCGAAGAATTGCTGTCGATCGACACAATTCTTGACAAGATTGCCACCATGTATATGAAGCAGAAGTAGAAATCAGGAGTTGCTAGCCAACGTAAAATGCAAGTGTGCCATAGAAGGAGGATTTCTAGAACTAGTTCTTGCCATTTAGTTTAGTGTTTAGTAACCCAAAGTTGCAGAACGAAACCCAACCAAATAATTTATCCCAAAGATATATACTTTGTTGTACTGATCATTTTGATGACTTAATTTACTTTATCCCATATTTGCTGATACCAAAAAGAATGTAATTTACAAAATGAATGACTTAGTTTGTCCTTAGTAGTTTTCCTGTGAAGGAAGTATATTGTTAAGAACGAAATTTGATGCAATAATTTATATAATAGTAAGTTTAATACGATTGAATTAAACCCCACAAATATTTTATTTATATTTAGTCTTGCCAGAGCATCAGATTATTTATATCTAATAGCTCAAGTACAATTGAACTCACTGTGGCCATGCATTTAGTTGCCGTTTGTCTTTCCTAACCTTTCCTTCCTTTACCTATATCGAAAGTGTACAAGCTAATGTGTAAAAGTTGCAAATCTAAAGTGTACAACGGAATTAATGAAATGCAAATCAAAATATAAAGAGTATTGTTTGTGATTAATTTGTATTGCCGAATACTGGGACGGATTTTCTTGGGTATCTGACAGATAATATCAGTGGTTTCTCCGTCAAAAGAATTACGCTTCTCGATATCTGGAGGAAATTTGAAATTGATTTACATAGTAAGGCGAAAAGGTGAATCTAAAGCCATCAGAAAAAACGTGCTAATCTTACCTACCACCGTTTTTAAGTAAGTATAAAATGGTGCCACAAACTTAAAAATGTAAACTAATTTGTATTACTGTTGCCTTTGCTTTACAAAAACTTAGTTAAAATCATTGGTTCTTTCCCGAAAAAGAAAAATAAGCAACTTAACAAATGTTAGAGGATATAAAAAGTGGCTGATAAGTTCTGTTCTGTAAAACGATTTTCCCTTCAAATCCTTTCCGACACATCTCAAAGGGACCCGAACACTAATTGGTAGATATACATTTGAAGAATGGTAGCTCTCCATTAATATTTGTCAATCATTTTATTTGCTCATTCCGTGGTTGGGGCCCTCCTGACCTTAGAGGCTCATCCAAAGAATTTCAAGACATGTCCGGCTGGAAGCTGCATTCCATATTTGAATGCAGCCAAAAAAGCATCGAGCCACACACAAACACCCAGGCACACCCAACCGGGTTGGCATCTAACCACATAAACAGTTAGGTACAAGTGCCCCATGGGTCCTTGCCCGATGGCCATAAATGGTCTGGGCTTGTGCACAAATTTATAAGCCACTCACATTAAGGCGGCAAATATTTTTTATGGCAAACAGCGCAGTGCATGCGAACTAAGCTCTGAGCAGCGGTGGCATCTGCAGGCGTTGTGGCACCTGCCCGCGCCACTTACCTCGAGGCCCCCACCTTCCACCCACCCAGAGCAATTAATGAAATTTGCACAGCGAATTTATTGACGCGACCGTTAGTGTCAACCGAAAGGAATCGGATGGTGCGGGAGCCACTCGTTTGGCCAGGAGATGTATGTAAAATTTTATGTATCAAATATAGTTATGGTTTTATGATAGCGAGGCCCAGACCGGGGACTTGCCCGGGTCTGGCCATTGCGTGTCTGTCACCTGAAGCTGCTGCTGCAATCTCCGCCGATCTCCCAGCCATCCCTCCCGATCCCGACCCCTTCGCCCGGCCAGCAGCTTAATGTCTACATTTGTTCTGGCCATTGCGTGTTCAGTGGCTGCCCTTTTTGCAATCTCAGCTAACTCGGTTACTCCTGCTCCCGCTGCCAGTTGCATGTCCTCTGCTCCTCCACGCCCGCTGCAACTGCAAGTCAGGCACTCCAGCTCCTTCAGCCTCTTCCACAGATTTGGCCTCGCCATCTCCAGCAGCTGCCGCTGCCACGGCGCATTAGAACAAATTGCTCTTGTTACGATAGGAAGGATGGACATGCCTTTTGCCTTGTTTGGACCGACGGACAGAATGCCTCTGCTGGTTAGAGATCAGGCACACTCGAGTCGTTGGATATAAATGAAAACGTATTCAGTTGGTTGCAGGGGGATAAACTTATTGTTTGCTAGTGTTCCAAGTGGTTACATGTTTCTAGTTTATGAATGAATCCACTTTAAATGTAATATTTTGACACAGAATATTATTATTTTTTCTTTTAATTTGAGCTAAATATTAAATAAATTGATAAAAAATCATGTATCACATCTGTTTCCACTGAAACGAACCATTCCGAATTTATGAGAAGAGTATCTGAAATTCATCAAACCTAAGTTGCACCTCCTTGTTTATTTTCCAAGTAAAATGCGCCGCGAATTCGTGAAACAAATAGTCAAAGACGTAAGTACGCATGTTTCGCCTGTTGGCCAGGGCTCGTTGGGGGCTTAGCCTCATCTGCATACCTGGATTTGACCGAGACAATGTTAATGATGAGAAAACAGAGGAGCAGCCTGCCTCGAGAGCCTCCGAGGACCAGGTTCCATTTCCGTTTTCCCTCTGGGACCTGGACTGCAACCAATTGATTTTACATTGGGCTAGGCTTGGACTCCGATCATTTGTGTTAGCTCGTTTGGCATTATATAATGCATATATAATTCCTTTGTTGTCTGCGGCTAATTTGCAAATTTACGCTGCCATTGGGGTAATGTCATACCACTTCGAGGCAATGTCTTCAGTACGAACCTAGGCCTAAGTCAAGTTCAAGTTGAGTTGTTCACTGACATCTAATTTGTGCTGGAGTCGGAGAACTGCCCAACTAAATTGCAGTAGCCCACGCCATCTAGCCAGGTCTTTATAGAGTAGAAATCTATAATTGCCTGGGAAAGCCCATGTGAGACCATTTTCAAAGAGCATTAGAAATAAACCAGGGCAGATTCCCAGATCTTTTAAGACGTTTAAATTTTGTTCATTTGAAGTGAACTACCTTTTAGATGTTACAGAACTGGCTATAAGATTATATGAGAAATATATAGAAGTAATATTTAGCCACTTTATTGTAGCAAATTAAAGCTACTTATATTTTATTGGATCGGAAACGCAGTCCCCAAATGGTTAGGTTTTGGTGGATATAGATCCCAAAACTTTAACTGGTCAGCCTTGACCACCGATTTTTGGACCTTACCTCACGGAGCCAAGTCATGGGGTCATTCAACTTCTGCTGGCCAGGGCGTTTAAGGAGGCACAGTCAAAGTCAAGTCAAAAGTCATAAAAGATATGCAAGCCTGTGCAGTCTGACTGCCTTAACAAATGTACGAGTCTACAGATGGTTTTGTATAGCTCTTGCTCTTGGCTTGGCTATGGGCTTGGGCCTGAGTTCGGAAATGGGTTTGGGTTGGGTATGGGTGTATGGGTATGGGTATGGGTATGGGTATGGGTAAGGGGATGTGCGTTGCTTTCGTAATCCTTTGCCATGTCTGCGCTGCCCTTATTGCAACAGCAACAGCAACAGAAACAGCCAAACAGCATCAGGAACAACAATTACAAATGGACGACTTCTTTGTTCTGTCAGCAAGGCCTGCTGCAGCCAAACAGCCCAGAATCAGCATCAGCACCAGCCCCAGTTGGATCTCAACCCGAGCTCCAGCCCGCGTTGCGGCCAAAAGAGCTGCAGTCGGAGTTTTGCGGTAGCAGCCCAAAAGAGGGGGCGTCGTCAGAGCCGTCTCCATCTCCATCTATGCTGCCAGCAGCTGCTACGCATAAAGCATACGCTCGGCACTGAGAGAAATAAGTACCAAGTATGGAGTACTTATTCGGATGTTTAATGGAGTGAAACCAAATATCAGAACATGAAAATGGTGCGTATTTCTTCATCAACTTGGAAAGGTAGAGCAATATATATATTTGTTCTTTTCTATGAAGCTTAACACTCTTAAATAAGTAGTTCAAGTGGGATATATATATGGTTATTCCCTTTATTTTTTATTTTTACAATTTATCTATACATTCATCTAGAAATTTAGAAATATTAATTTGATTTTCTTTGATGAATCTATTGAATTTGTTATTTTAAAATTCTTAGCCCCATTCTCACTCCTAGACTTATTAGTTAATTCTAAACTCATTGATATTACTTAATCACAAGAATGTAAACATTTAAAATTTTAGTAGTTCAACCGTGGTAAGCAAAGCTAAAGCGGTCAGATATTTCTCTCAGTGCTTTCTGCGGATGCTGTTCTTTTGGGGCGTTATTGCTAGCCAAAACAAATATGAAGAGCTGGAGTCTGAGGCCGCGTCTCTGTTTCTGTCTAGGAGTCTGAGAAGTCAGAAATGTGCAACGTTATCATAACTAAGTGCATGTGGATGCGTGTGCTTGTGATTTTCCCGAAACGAAACGAAACCAAAAGAACGAAACCGTCTGCATATGCATAATTCATGCTATTGAACCTTCTGCGGTTATGACTGGACATGGACATGGGCCCTGGACTTGAACCTACCCACGGCGATTGGGTAGAGGGGATGGGGCGGGGGAAGGGGCAGGGCAGGCAGGCGATGGGGACCTCAGCCAGGCAACTAGAAAAATTATAATTTCACAAGTCATAATAGGATTTGCAATTCAAATGCGAAAAGGCAACGCAGACTCAAGTCGACTCGAGCTGGGTTTCTTTGAGATTGTTCTCGTTGTTGCTGTTGTTGGAGCCGTTTCCTTTTTGTGAAAATTTCTGTGGAAGGAGCGAACAACAATAAGAGGCTTCTCGGCCAGGGCCCAGACTTATGGCCAAGGCTCTGGCCCTGGCCAATATGTCAAAAATATTAAGAGACATGGCCAATGGGTCCGGGAATGGGATCGGGAATCGGCATAGGAATCGGCATAAGAATCGGTTTGGGGCTTGTGGTTTCGGCTTTGGGGATTGGCCGGGCTATCGGACTGGGATCATGCATAAATATGCAAACGATAAGAGCTCTCCTCTATAAAGTTGTAAAATTGACAAGCGTTGCAATGCCAAACTCTCAAATAAAGCAATAAAATGCGCTAAAACATCGCCGGCCAGGGATCGCAACTCCAGACCGATCGGTAGCCATGGACCAAATGCAAAAATTAGAAACGAAAGCCAGCGGGCTGCAGCAACAGCTCCTCCCGATCCTCCTTCTCCTCCACCTCCTCGCCTGCCTGCCCAGAATTTATGCCATTCTGGCTGGGACTTCGCGGGAGGACTGGGATCGGGACTGGGAAGATCCGATGGAGAGATGAGCACGGAAGCATCATCGTTTGTCACTGGCGCATGCAAAGGCTCAATTCATGATTCTGCATCGAAATCGAGGAGGAAGTGCGCCTCGAGTGACAGCAGGCAGCGCATAAAGATAACAAATAGTATTGCAGTGGGTTGCATCGTAATCATGTCAAGCTGCCAATACCGGCAGCCCCGGACTGAGGAGGCCCACAACTTACGACTCACTTAGGGCTTCCTACTCCATGCGAAATCGAACCCTAAGCTTGTTCCCAGGAAATTTGAGGAGATGAGCTCGATATAAATTAGGAGGAAGAGTTTTCGGAACTCGGGGTACGCCTTTCGGAGGGTCCCAAAAACCAAAGACTTAGGCAACGAACTTGACATA